GGCATCACAAAGAGGTAGTGCCATTTGACATTTCAAAGTTGGGGTGTGTCGCGCCGACGGGGTGACTCATCCCTTGATCGAAATATGGTGGTTCTAGTTCCCCTTAACTCTTTAGCATTTTTGCCAAACAGCGTTTCTCTAACTTTTTTCTTTCGCGAGATATTCGCATTGGAAGTTTTCAAATTAACACCCTGTAAAAAAAATTTAGTTTAATCTGAATCAGGTAAAGTATTGTCCTTATTTGGTTTATACATAGCATTAGTACCTACATGTCAATTTATTAGTTATGTTATAAAATTAATTTAAACAGAGCGTGCCGAAATATCATGCAATTTATAAGTGTATGTGATTAACTGAAGGTTAATAATAATATAGGTAATTATAATAATAAATAAGTGTCAAAATATTTTTCAGTAGCTAATGAAATGTTTCAGTAGATCAGTAGATCCATATGCAAAATCAGGAGATCTAATGAAAATTCAGTAGAACTGGCAACCCTGCAGCGGACGTAAAGTGTTTGCGGACGATAAGTTTGTGTCTGCACACGAAAAGTACTTGTCTTCGGAAATAGTCGGTTTTTCGTTCGGAAAATAGAACAAAAAATGTTATTTTTTAGAGGTCGACGAGTTTGCCGACCCCTGAATTCTAGACGGCTATTTGAGGAAATCAGGAACCAACAGATATGGTGCTGAATAAGCTTCAAATTTCGAAATAAATTTTGAATAACAGTTCCCATGATCCATTGTAAAATAATTTTTGTTCGAAAAGAAAATATGAATTGAGAAAACCCTGAAAACCCAATCACGAATCAGTGCGATTAGAAGTCTATGAAAATAACAAGTCTCCATCGTTCAAGTTTGAACTCCTTGATTACGTATTAGAGTATATTGAAAAAGAATATTCTCAGATATATTATGAAATTCATAAAAACAATGGATACATTCAAATAAATACATTGAGAAATCGCATTCTCTATGTGATGAAAATATCAATTCTTTCTCAGAATATTCAACAGAAAACAACTATACTTTCCTGGATATATGCCACAACGCTTTGGGAATAAAATCTTCTGAAGTTGAAAATTTGCATTTTCTTTCTGATAAAATATATATTCATTCAGGGTTCTCAAACTCAAGTCGGCACTAATCATAACTTGTTTATTATTGGAATTACAAAGCTACAAAGAAAAAAACACAGTTTACATAAGTTTTATAAAGTTATTATCATTCCTTTATTTCTTATCACTTTCTAATCCTTTCTCTTTCTATTTTTGAAAATAGAGGTTAAGGATTTCGAATATGTTAGATTCAGTTGGTGGTGACCTTTGAAGAATAAGTTGTATTCGAAATCCTGGAGATTCTTATTGATAATTGACATTTATTTAGAAAAACCTACAGTATAGGTAAAATCCTTAGATCTCTTTTTTTTTATTTCCAAGTAATGACTTGGAATATTCGCACATCTGTTGTTCGCTCATATCTCAAGTAATACCTAGGCAACCTATAATGAAAGATCAATCTTGTGTCCTTTCATGAACATATCTACATGACAATTTCTCCCCAATCGTATTTGGGTTCTCACGTGATAACTTCAAATCTTTCAACCACATGTTTTTGGAACAATTTTAAATTCAATGCTGACAAACCGAAATACACATCATTTTGTATCTCTCTGGCGTAACACAATACAATAGGAGGAAATTTGTAAGTTTATCTCAGTACGCCTCTGTTTAAGCAACAAGCTAATATAAATCCAGTGATAAAAATTGTTTCATTCATGCTCGGAGTAAAATCACCTCCTGTCGCAGTCTCGGCAGGTGTGGATTTTCCTAGAATCAGATATTATATTGACTCATAATTTTGAAATATTTGAATATTCATAGGTGTTGCTTCATCTATGGCGATTTCGCTGTTATAATTGCCATTTTTGGAATATTTGGTTAATACCACGAGTAGTCATCGGTAAATACCTTCACCGTGGTGGGATTGGTTGGAAGCGGAGGACTTTCAATTAGGTGTGATATTCAGTCCTTTTGGCAATTCACAGTGTGCAGAACAAAATTCCAGATGGCATAGAAATAATTTCAATATCCTGCCATTCCAATTCCATTCCGACTGAAATGTGGGATGGAATTCGTCAGATCAATGATCATACTATTATCGTTGACGCAATTTTGGTGAACATACTTTAGCTACCAATGGTGTTGAGAAACTTCGCCATTTTTTTAAGTGCTTATAACGGCGCAATTATCTCCGATTGAAATGATTTTCTGATTTCAATATCTCGATATAGTGAGTCCGAAAGTCGACAAATCTGAAGCTGGAAACTCTTTCCAACGATGAAAAATGTAACAGCGAGAGGGAAGTAATTTTCTGAAAAAATTAACAATGGTAGATGCATGTGAGAAGATCAACTACATCCTGCAGTAGATTAATCGAGAAGGTGAAACATTAATTTCTCTAAATTTTTGGAATTTTCACCAAACTATTTTGATGAACTTGATTTGGTGCTAAATCAAGAAACTTTACATTTTTGACAGAATTCAATTTTTTTTAGCATTAAACCAGTCGGTATGAGTAAAGTAAGTAGTTAAGGCACACTCAGATGGAAAATCAAAAATGAAATTAATATCAATATGGAAATTTGAAATGTGATTTATGTGGTATCATTGAATTCAGAATTTTTTTATCGCTTGTTCAAAGAACATCGTGCGTTCCTAGGGAGGATAGGGATAGGAGGTAGGTATTGGAATTTTTTTTGAACTTCTGGAGATTATATGTTGTTGGGAATACTTCCTGAGGCAATGAATTCCAGAGCCTAGCCGTTCTATGGATAAAGGAGTTTTGATAAAGTGCTGTTCGACATCTTTCGAGGTTGACAACGAATGGATGTGCTGACTGGGCTTGTCTAGTTCGTCTGACTGGTATTGCTAGTGAAGGGATGATAGTATGGAAGTATCGATAGAAAAGTGAAAGGTCGCCGACCTTTCTACGGTGTTCCAATGATGTCAAAGAGTGAGTGAGTGTGGCTCCACTCACCAGGCGGATGAGAGAAGAGTGTTGCTGATGGAAATACCGAGCATAGATATGGTGGGCTTGGTGGGGATGGTTGTGCCAGACATTACAATGTCGGGCATACTGAGTTCCTCCTTTCTAGAGAAAATACAGGCTTGAGTTTCGGTGGCGTTGAATTCAACTAGGTTGTTGGTTCCCCAGGCTGTGATTTCGGCAAGGTCTTCATTGACAGCATTGACCTGCCTGCGCCGTGAGTTCTTAGTTTCCTGGGAAGAAATGGGAATTCTGGAAGAGAATTCTGGAAGAGATGTAGAATTCGAAAATTCAATGATATACAGGGTATTCCATTTGGAAATCGAATGTTATTAACACTTCCTGTGATACTGGAAGTAGAAAATAAAACATGATCATGTCAAAACATGACGTTTATCAAGTTGAGTCATTTCAAATGTCAATTACTTTCATTTCATTTTTAAAGCTATAGATCCTGTTACATCCGGTATGTATAAAAAAATAATTTTCAAATCGATATACTTATTGTAACCAGATGATTTACTCCGTCCGTAATGTGCTTGAAATAGAAACCTAGAAGAGAGATTCAATCGATAGTCTTGTGTGAAAAATGTTTGAAGAAGTATATATCAAAAAATATATAATTTCACTAACTTTTTGGACATTTCAGGTACGAATCTGAATCCGTTTTGAGCATAAAAATGGAAACATTATTTTTCACGAATTGGTCTTTGGTTTTCTTCTTCTCAGTGACGAAAGTTGATGCAAGAGAATGAGCTACAGGATGTTTTCATCAATGTATCTTGGAATCCCATTTTCATATTCATATTCGAATCGAATCATCGCAATTTCACATCCTGTATCCGTTTCAAGATATTGAGTTGAATCGAAGTTGTTGTTGTTGTTTTTTCGAAATAATTTGCAGAAAAATTGAATGATTTAGAGATCCGACATAGAATCAATAGTTCAAACCATGGACGTATAAAATGGTTCAAACGAATAATAATAATAATAATAAATAAATTTTATTTCAAGGAATACTACAATATATAAACGTGATCACATAAAGTAGGATTAAATTAAACAATAGTCAACAAAAGAATATGATAGTCACTTATGAGATCTACAAATATTTCTGAGATTATTTGATTCGAAAGTTCATGAACTCTGTCTCATCATATGGTTCGATGTTAACCAACAACTTAAAAATTGTTTTCTTGAATTTTGCTAATGATTTTATCGATTTGATGTCACTAGAGAGTTTGTTATAAAATCTAATACCAACTCTTCCGATTTTGTTCAACTTTTTTTCAAACAATGTTACTAATAGATATCTCATTATTCAAGAAAGTTTATAAGTTTGAAACGCAGCTTTGATACGATGCTGAACGGACATATATCGCGTTTTTTCTTGTTAATAATTGAAATTGCAATATTTTTATGTCAGTTGAACTATTTGCAAAATTCACCTTAAAATTGTGGCATAATTGACAGATGTATCTGGTGATTGATCTAAATACAAGGTATATCTTGCAATGAAGGCCTGATTGACAGATTTATCTGGTAAACAATCCAATTGCAAGATGCCAATTATAAAATTCATCTTGCAGTTAAGGCATAATTGATAGATTTATATAGCAATTACTCTAGTTAGCGATAACTTCAATAAATATTGCTCGGAGATGGAAATTTCCTGTATGTCGTTGTCTCATTTCAAAACTAGAGCCAAACAAATCTTTTCTATGTAATCTATACCTGTAATTTACTTATAGAATATCTACAATTTGAGTTTATTATTGTATCTTTGTAAACTATCAGATATGTATATGTATCAGTGGATACTGTTTTGGGTTTATACCTGTATGTATCCCAAATCTGAATAAATAAATAAATAAATAGTTGCTAGATATATCTTGCAATTGTCATTTCCATCCTGTTACAGAGATCGACGCCACCGGCTCGCCGGCTATCGACATGGACTCGTCCCGGATCGGACTGGACTTCATCGTCGAGCACCCGGACTACATCAGGAAGCTGGCGGCCGCCCTCGACACCCCAAACGCGACCGTCAAGAAGCAGGTGTTCGAGCTGCTGTCCGCCCTTTGCGTGCACAACGAGGATGGGCGGTCGAGGGCGCTTGACACCCTAGATCACTATAAGGTCAGTGGCTCAGTCCATACAGGGTGTCTGTAAAAGGTTGGGACATGGCTCGGCTGTGGACTCCTGGGATAAAAACAAGTTGATTTAGGCCAACTTACTTATATCCAAAATCGTCTCGTTGAGTTGGTACAAGCACAGTTGAGAAAATATTATGTAATATTCTCTCAACTGTGGTACAAGGCGTTGAAGTTGTTTTGGAAAAAAATAATTTTGCTCATAAAAAGAGTAGGCTGAGATCGATTTCCATAATTTTTGGCATATCATCAGTGACCTGTAAGTGTTTCAAACAACCATGTTGCCGTACAAATTTGGTGATAAATTTTCAGAGGTCGGACTGGAAACCTCCAGTTTTTTTTTCAGGAAGATATTCCCTTCAGAAATATTTTTTGTATCGTGTTTAATTTTTTATTTATATCAAAGAGATGATTACAATTAAGGATATGATTAGCAAATGAACTTTTTGTATTCTGGGAGAATTTTTGTAGCTGTCAATCAGTTTAACATGTTCATTAACACGAGTTTGAATTCTCCTTCCACTCTGACCAATGTATTGTGCCAAACAATTAGGGTCTGAACAAGAGATTTTGTAGACACCAGATCTATGTAATGGAGGAATATTGTCTTTGGTATTGACTAACAAACGGGAAATTGTATCTGTGGTATAAAATGAAACGTTGATATTTTCGTTGGAACGTTGTGAAATGTTTCTATTATTATTGAGTGGAATGAGACCTTGATTGATGAATATAGTAGAAAATTTGTTGAAAATTTTGTCAATGAGGTACAGAGGGTACCCATTATTAACGGCAATCTGCTTGATAGTATTCCATTCAGTATTGAAGTTGGAATTAGTTAATGGTATATTAAATAATCTGTGGATTAGAGAATTGAAGGCTGCTAGTTCATGAGAAATAGGATGGCAAGAGTTGAACGGAATTACGTTATCTGTATGAGTGGGTTTGCGGTAGATGGAGAATTCAAACCTGTCATTCACAATGTTAACTGACAAGTTCAAGAAAGGGAGAGAGTTATTGATAGCTATAATTCCATCGTGAAGTTAATGGCAAGATGAAGTGAGTTTAAACATTCCAGGAGCAAGTTTATCTCTTGTACTGTACCATCGAAAAGAACCAGACAATCATCTACATGTCTGTACCAAAAGTTTATTTTATGAAACAGGGGGAAGTGTTGGAGATTGCTTTCTAAATCATGTAGAAAAATTTCAGATAAGAGAGGAGAGAGATTGCAGCCCATGGCTGAACCTGCGAAAAGGCCCTTTCCCTGCCGCTTGGTGAAAAAATAAATCACGGCCCTGAGAATCTAACCATTATTCTAATCATCACTAACAATATCACGATATCGAATGAAGAGTGCAAAAATACCTATATGCAAACATAAAATCAGCGTTCTTACAAAGAGATAAAAAGAAAAAAGATTCGCAAATTATCTTCGGGCGACAAAATTGCTGTGGCTGTGAGTCAGAGAGGCAACCTTGCCAAGATCATCGAGATCGAGAGTGTCAAGGTCGCGTTTTGTTCGAGGTATTCTTCTTCTACCTTTTTTATCGCGTTGCAGTTCGCGAGTTTGCGATAATCAGCGAATATTTTCGCTCTCGTTTGCATCATTTCGAATCAATTGAGCTATGAAAGCTAGCTATTGTTTGATACAGCAGCGCCGTTTCAGCTATGACCAGAGGGGGGCAAGGACTCCGAAATATCTTCTCAAGGTCAAATTCTTTTAAATTGTATTTTTCACAGATTCACAACTTTATTACATTTTGATAATGGGATAATTTTTCACGAATTTTCTGAATATGTGATCACTTTTTATTTACCTACATCAACAAAATTCAGAGTGGCTCAGGAATTTTGTTTTTTTTTCATATAAAATGATCTATATTCTGTTCCATAATTCGATGAAGTCCGTCAATCTGAATTCAAAAATATATACCATTCATATAGGTATTATTATCGATAAATCATGGTGAAACGTTAGCCGTGGTACTTGATATCTCCAAGGCATTCGATCGAGTCTGGCACCACGGACTCCTCGCCAAGCTTCCATCTTCCTCCCCAGCTATGTTCTCTGCTAGCTAGTTTCCTCTCAAACAGGTCTCTCCATGTAGTGGTCGACGGAGTTTCATCTGGCTCTCTTATTATAAATGCTGGTGTTCCGCAAGGATCAATTCTAGCACCAACACTATTTCTACTCCATATCAACGATTTGTTAGAAGCAACTTCATGTCCAGTACACAGCTTCGCGGATGATAGTACCCTCCATACCGCCTTCTCTTCCAGGGCTCCAATACCAGCCAGGCAAATCAGAAACGAACGAGGGTGAAATGTTAACTACATAAATATGGACAATTCTCGAATGGGGATCCAATTGCTTGGTAGATTTCAATGCAAACAAAACACAAGCATGCCTTTTCTCTAGAAAAGCCGATCTCACTGTGCCCAACATAAGCTTATCAGGAGTAACCATACCTTTGAAGACATCCATTTCGATGCTTGGTATTACTATCAGCAATAACTTTTCTTGGGAAAATCACGTGAGATCAATTGCTAAAAGTGCATCCCAAAAACTTGGTTTTCTGTTTCGGACCAGGAGCTATTTCACTTCCAGTCAGCTACTTATGATCTATAGGGCACAGATCCGACCTGTCCTGGAATACTGTTTCCATATTTGGAGTGTAGCACCCAAACATACCCTGAAACTGTTGAATTCTGTCCAAAAAAGCAATTCGTCTCGTGGGTGATGCATCGCTCACAAACTCACTCACTTCCCTGGAACACCGTAGATAAGTTGGCGATCTGTCTCTATTTTATAGATATTTTCATGGACGATGCTCTTCTGAAATATCAACAATTCTTCCTCCCTTGGCAGTCCCCGCGAGATTAACCCGTCGAGTTGAGGCTTCGCACCCCTTCGTGGTCACTTTGGAGACCTGCAGAACATCTCTTTCCAAAGACTTGTTCATCCATCGAACAGCGAGGCTCTGGAACACATTGCCAAGGGAGGTGTTCCCCGAAGCATATAACCTCCAGAAATTTAAGAAGAACACCAATTCCCACCTTATTTCCCTTGGTTCTCACGATGTTCTCTGAACATTACAGGATATCCCTTTTCGTGGGAACCAGAACATAAAAAGAAAAACACGGAAAACGCTATTTGACGACGACGTGACTCATTTTGACATCGATAAAAAAGGATGCACCTTTTTTATCGCTGATAAGCTGCCTGCTCTTTGGACCTATAGTAGTTATTTGCGCCTGATGTCGCTCCGATTTCTGTCGTGTCAAGTGAAGTCAAGTAAATTAGCAAGATGAGCCGTTTTAGTAAAACTTCGTCTGAAGAGCTATTATAAATAATGATAAATCACTTGAAAAAGCAGTTGAAGAGTTACAAAACGCAATTCGGAACACTATTAGATGGTGTGACAAGTGGAGGCTAAAACCAAATCCAGAAAAATCCCAACTGTTACTCTTCAATAAAAAAATATCAGATGATTCACCCACGGTAACTGTGAACAATCATATAGTGAGAACTAGGGCATTAGTTAAATATCGGGGAGTGTACTGCTTAGATCAAAAACTGAACTTTGACCATCATATACCCAGTTGATGAAAAAAAACGCATCACAAGGGTTAAACATTTCCGAAGCCTAACTTACAAGAATAAAGGAATTAGCAAAAGACCAGCAGCACCTATTAACAAAACCATTTGCCGCCCAATTCTTGAGTATGCTCACCCAATATACATAAACACGAGGAAGACGGCACTGAACAATTTGGAAGTAGCAGAAAGAGCTAGCCAGAGCCATTACCAAAATCCGGCACCCTCAAAATCCCCATCACCATCCATCAAACGAACTTCTATATCGGCTGACCAGGGTACAACCAATTTCTGAGAGTCTGAAAAAGCTAACGTCGAAGTTTTCCAAAAACGAATCCAATCTCCAAATTATCCAATTCCAGTGATTACGTCAGAGAGATCCAACAGTGAACCCAAGACGGAAGTTTCCGAATAACACACTATTTTTTTTTTTTGCAATTGCATACATCGTTGGTCCCAGCACTTGGACCAAACGCCCCATAAGTCGAAAGTTGTGCAGGGTAGGTATACATACAAACACAAACATCCATGGCCTAACTAGGATTCGAACCTACTAGCAAATAAAATGATACCACATATATTGTACATACAATAATGATAAATTTAAACTCAATGTATAATCACTGGGTAACACAGGCCTCGATCGGTGGCCATTTGGGTATCCAATAATAGTTATTTAACCAACTAGTGTATTAATGAGGACGATTAATGATCGAGATATTTTAACGTGCGAGCGAAGCGAGTGCGTTAATGTTCGATATCATTAATCGCCTTTTAATATACAAGTTGGTTACAGAATTTTTCCGTCGACTATGTTTCTCATTTCTCTTGCAATGAAGAAAACTTGGTTCGCGAATTCATCATCCATCCGGAAACTGCTAAGAATCACCCAGTAGCCTTGTTACTGACATTAGTGTCATTTGACATTTGTCGAAATGATCAACATAGGAAATAAATTCCTTCTGTTAGAAAACAGGGATTGAAATCGTGTCAGAAAATTGGAAAGGCGAACCCGTTAACGGAAAATCGTCGATGAAATCCATATTTTCGATTTAAATGCAGATTCCGCTAGTCATAGCATAAACAATGAATGCACGCGGTGTATGTTTGGTTGCCTATAAAACAATCGTGCATTAATAGACAAATCGTCCATTAATAGGGGTCATTAATGAACGATTTCATATACATTAATACGAGGTCGATGGAAAAGTTCCTTAATTATTATTAGTTTTCGTCTGAAGAAACCACGAAAATATGAGAAAATCAATTTTGCAAACTACCAGTTACACGGAATCATCAATAAAGGTAATCATTATTGTTGTTTATTTTTATATTTTCGTTGATGTATCTTGCCAAAAACACTCGAACTTAATGGATAAATTTCGTTACCAAGAGAAATTTATCCGATGAAAAAAGCTCTTGTGTTTTTACTGTTGAATAAAATTTAGATCATTTCATTTGAACAAAATGTTTTTTTCTTAGCCACCCTGGATTTTGTTGATATGAAGAAAAATTGAGAGCACATATGCGAAAAATTCGTAAAAAATTATTACAGAAAAGTTTTCAAATGACCAAAATATGTTAGGGGATGATACATTCAAGTAGGACACCCTGTTAGCTATAAAAAACGTGTAGTGCAATTATTATTGAAGACCCTGTATATTATGGATATGATACGAGTTGTTGAGATTATTGTTCAATCTGGTTTGTATAATAAACGATCAACATTTGTTGAAACAAATGTCAGGTGGCTATATATAATGTAGGTTAAAAGATTTCTCAAATAAGGCAAAAATCGATTATTTCCATCGGATCTGTATTAACGTTCGACTTTGTGTCACAGAGAGTCGACAAAGAAGGACATTCCATTATAAAAGGCGAAACATAAATTTGCCTTTGCCCGTCAATGTCTTTTGTTTAGTTAGTTAGTTTGAAAAATACAGGGTATCCAATAATTAACGTGCAATATTTCGGCTAAACATAAGTAAAAATGTTTGAATGAACATGAATATTGAGGTAAAATAATTCCTCACTTTTCATGCTGGATTCAAAAATGCAAATGAAATTTCAAATTTTCATTCAGAAGTGTATTACTATATAGGGTCGGCTTAGTGGACTTTTAGTCTTTACTCTATTGTTAGCAATTATTTTTACAATTTCATCACAGAAATTGAGAATTTTAGATTTTTTCGTAAAAAAAAAGCTGTTTGACTTCGATAAAATGCTCAGTTCTGGACTAATATACCAATTCGAATAAGAAATATTGCATAACATGGAGAAATAGGAACTATTATTCGATGTTTTAAAGACTCATGGAGACAACAAACCGTGTGCTAAAATTTAATATTTTTTTCGTGTATAATACACTATTTTTTTCTGTGACAGGAAGAAAGACGCTCTAATATTGAAAAGATATTACATATAATCAGAAAATTATCAATGTGATATTTGTACTTCTTTCACCTCCATTGTAGGCATCTTTATTGCTATGTCATTCTATTGTCATATTCTGTCAATTTAATTCAGTGTTGAATTATATTTAATGTCTGAATTCGAGTTTTCTATTACTCCACCGGAGTTAGTTGAAGCAGCGAAAGAAGCGTCACAAAAATTATTGACAGCTAAATCGCGGAAAATTTACGAAACCGCGTATTCAAGATTCATGGAATGGAGGATGAAAAAGTCAAGCAGTTCTTTCTCGGAAACGGTGGTATTGGCCTATTTTTCTGAACTGGCTCAGAAACAAAAGCCATCAACAGTGTGGTCAAATTATTCAATGATTAAAAGTATGGGTAAAACTGCATTTAGCATGCGATGGGTTTTTTTTCGAAATTTTTTTTGGTACTTACGTATTTTTGTCTGAAAAACACGAATTTGATAATGAAAATGTGAACAAACCATTATTTATCAAGATATTTCAAAAAAAAGTTCAAAATTTCGACTCCTTTTTTCCCTTGCGTTGCGTTGCGTTGCGTTGTTTGTAAATTTAGAGTTTACAAGTATACCTATACATAATATTATGTGGTAAACTGTTGTAAAATGATATTTATTCATTGACTTATAGAATGAACTCGAAATAATATGAAATTGAAAGTAAATGTCATTTAACTTATAAACATCAAAATATTTCCAGTATAATTTCATGATTCGTCCCCCAAGGAGGAGGAAAAAATTTGTTTAGTTGCTACGGTAACGATACGAAATACAAGCTTTAAATTGATCGAAAATGTTTGGTGTGGAATTTTCAGTATAATCCTACGTTGTGTTCTCCAGAAACGTCTAATGTGCCAATGGTGCCATCCACCATGAATCAGCCTGTATACTTACATGATATTTAGTCCCCATTTAAAGAGACGAAAAGGCACACTTCTATCTTCTATTTTGAAACAATCATTAATGCTCACTCGTGGTTTTTTTTTTCAGAAATTGAAAGGTGAGAGATATAGACTGAACCTGTTAGTCCAGGAACTGGATCGAGCCACTTCCGTGGACTATCAAACCGCTCTGGTAGCATTCATCAACTGCCTTATCATATCCACGCCACGGCTGTCCGACAGAACTAGGTTAAGAAACGAATTTATAGGTAAGAAATTCATATTCCCATCCGTTTCAGGTTAAACTTCACAAAATATTGGAACTCCAGTTTTTCCGAGATCCATACAACGCCAACATCTACTAAAACTAGTTAGGAAACGCATTTTGTGTAACGATGGACTTTTGCGGGACGAGCCTCAAACAATATGCTTTCCAATCAGCGACGAAACTCACGAAATAAACTCGTATGATATTTTCATTACTGGAAAATGGCTGATTCAAGTTCAGATTTACCTAGTGATATCGAGGAAGCAACACAAAATGCACTATTCTTTTCGTCCATCCATATTTTTATTTCGTAACTAGTGTTGCAATGAATATTTCATCACCAGTTATGTGATGTTGACCTTTCCGTCAGTTTTGAAAAATGTCAAATTACATGTCAAAATTAGGAAAATATATATTTCTACACTTTCCTGTGAAATCACCTCCTATATGCTTTTTCAGGTTTTATATTTTTTTGCCAATAATATCTTCCATATCGATCTGATTTCTAACGAAATACGCATAGATACAAAGTGCACAAAAACCGTTCATCAGTCTGTAATTTCTGAATCTTTATAAATCAGAATTCGAAATTTGGTAAGTAGTAAGTCAGGGGAGTATTGGTTTTTCCATCTACAAATAATTATTCCAATTAGTTGAGAAGAAATGAACTGAATTCAAGTGAAACTGTTTTCACTAATTTATTTCATTTGCTCCAAAGTCGTCGATTGTAACAACTATACTATATATAACGCGTGAGATATTGTTGATACGAACATTTTGATACGAACATGTTGATAAACAGACTCAAAAATGACTTGTTATACATATATAGGGTGATTCAAAATTCAATGTAAATATTTTGTTTTTTCTCCACATAAACATGTGTCCTAAAATGGCCCATTTCGGACAGGGGCCTGCCAATTTTCAGTAGATTTCATTCCTTATTGTACTTCCTAATTGTAGTCACAATTTCAGAATAAATTTTTTCTTTACCAAACTTACAGTGGCTGTAGCTTGGAGGGGGTGAATTTTAGGACACATGTTTATATGAAAAAAAAGTTTTATTTTGACCCGAACAATATTTACTTCGAATTTTAAATCACCCCGTAGATACCGTATACTGAAACTCTATAAACAATAAGTAGCTCTAAGTAACAATAGTTATTTATTATACAAGGGAAAGAGGTTGTAGATTTTAGCTCGAGGTTGTGTTGTCTCCCGACGCGTAGATGAGGGAGACAAAAAACCGTGAGCTAGAATCTGATATTTTTCTCGTGTATAAAACAGTTTTTTTCTGCGACAGGAAAAAGGACGAATCAATATTGAGAAGATAATTACATTTCATTGAAATTTGAAAATTATCAAAGTGAAATTTGAAGTTTTCAACAGTAATTACTTACACCTGATGATGCATTGCAGGCATCTTTTCGCAGGCATCCTTATTATTCTTTTGAAGTAATCAAATATGTCAGTCTAATTCTATGATCTGATTTCGAAGAATTGCTAATTTATTGTGGTTGTTCAGTAATTTATCTATAACTCACTGAATCGAAAGTAGGCGTTTGCTCCCTCATTTGCGGAAAGAAAGTTATCAATTTACTCCCACGGGAGGAAAAAAATATTGACTCCCGTTGTAGGCAAAATAAATTGGCTTCAGCATGCATCCTTTGGCGTCGGTATATATAAAATCTTTGCAATCCAAGTAATCAGTATCTTTATCACTATTATAAAACAAATAACAATAATATCCTTTTTGAATTCCAATGATATCATATGCTTCTTCATATTCCGAACGTACTTCTCATCAAAACTTTCAAATGCAGTTACACAATATACAAATCAATTAATTCATGATGACAGAAGTGTCATATTGACTTTTGTTCAAATGCCGTCAACTTTCCATGGCATACTATACCAATGCATATATAATGATGGATCGAGAGATAGAGAAGTGGAATGGAATGGGAGATAAAAGGACTAGTAGTTCTTTCTCGGAGACGGTGTATTGGCTTATTTTTCGGAACTATCCCAACAAAAGCCATCAACAGTGCATATATATATCCTGGAAAAATTACATGTAATTTTGTAATATAATTCTTTTCCATTTTTAGGTTCGGGGTATCATTTTGCACTTCTCTGCAGTTGGTTCATTGTTAGACCTAAATATATCTCCTCTAACTGGAATATCTATTCAAAAAGTGAAATATTTCTATTGAAGTAACATTTTTCATAGATTTTTCATTGAAAGTAATGAATTTCAATACGTATGTCGTGTCGTGTACAGTCTTTACGATTTTATCTTGACATACATACCTATTTACATGGGGGATAATCGATAAAGGTTCATGTAGTCAGGCAGGTGATACACGTAAAACACGACATTGGATTCATTGGAACATTATTGTTACACGGCTAACAATATTCAAATTAACAAACGTTTCGAATATAGAGTATGCGGTCTCCCATAATGGCGAATCTAAAACAGTTTTCGAATCATTGAATGCAAATCGGCATTGTATTGTTTTTAGTGATTCGAAATCTATACTTATACGCTTTGTTATTGTTGTCTCATAAAAATTATTGTATAGGTAATCTATGTTATGTATATTGGTTTCCATCTCAGCTCAGCGATCAATTAGCGTACATTTAGTTCAATAACTACCTACTTTGTGATTCTCCAGAACCGTCTTCATAAATTTCACTACACTAAAATCAAATACGAAAAAATATACTCAAAATAATGATATTTTTTGTATGCCGGATGATTTTCCAAGGTGGGTCCCCCTATAATGTTCTTATTATTGAATAGTCATGGGCATTATTTAGGTTTGAGACAGCGGCAAGTTTATTCCAGAGGAATTCAAACCTTTTTTCATGAATAATAAGTAAGTATATTGAACTAATTTTCATATCGGAGAACAAAAAATATTTGATAAATTTTTTTAAAACATCGGAAGTGCTTTCGTTGAATTATGTGAATTCGAACCTTGGAAAGAAGAGCAATATAGATAGTATAGTATATTCAATCCACTGGAAATAATATCTTGATACCTTGATTATGGATCAACTTCACATTGTCTCTAGATGTGCGTGATTCAAGATTCAAGAATTGTGATCACCCTGTATCTGTCCCAATTAGATCTCAGTAGATAGTGAATCAAAAGTTAAGATAGGAACATGTAAGCCGTTTTGACCAATAATGCATAGCTTCGACACAAAAAATCCTAAAGCTGAAAAATCTCGATTTTTTAGACACCCTATATCTCTGTAATCATTCCCGCTAGACCCTAAGTGGAATGTATTGATGAAATCAGCTCTTCAGGAAGAACGAAAGAAAATGCAATGGTGTCCCATTTAAAAAAAACATCATCAGTCGATATCTTGGAATTCGAACATCCTATAGATATATGAAAACAATTTAAGGTGATAGTTCTCATGGATCCCTATAACCGTTGTATTTGAATTGTTTCTATATATCTGACGGTTTTGCCAATATCGAAGGAGAACACACTATTGACCCTGTATAAACAAGTATACTTTTTTTTGGCACACACAATACATGAAAATCTGCATCTGCCCATACTGATGGTTGAAAAGCCTCACTTTCGATTTAATTTTCGCCTACGGCGCATTTTTCCCCTTTCGATATACAATTTCACACAAGTCATCTTGCCGCCCCCCCTGAACTGACGCTCTTGGGTGAAACAAAGTTTGGAGGTCGTGAATTATAGTTTAATTGACATATTTACTTGCTTTGTTGCAGTTCCGGTTTGACCGGAAATGACCCCAACTTTCGACTCTTAAATGGGACATCCTGTATTTTTTCTCTTCGTGATCGGCTAGGGATTTTCATAAGGAATTCAACAATACCGGATTTGATAGAGATATATCAAAATATTACGAAGATATTTGATTCCGAAATGTCTTCTTCTTTCTCTGTCACACTCATTGAACATATGAAAACTTCGAATGCGAATATCCTCGTAATCGCTGTTTGAAATAACCCTATCAACCCTCATTTAAAAATCAGAAGTAAGGGTTATTCCCAACAACATATAATCTCCAGAAGTTCAAGAAAAATTCCAACACCTACCTCCTGTCCCTATCCTCCCGAAATTATGTACACCTGCCAAATTTCAAGTTAATCGGAGTTATGGAATTTTTGTTGAAATTTAAAAAAATGGTTGCTCCAAGATGGCGGACAAGATTTGGTCCGATTCCATTCAAAATTGTTAAGTGGGGGTTTTGTGAGGTCGGAGATCATGATTTTTTTGTTAAAATTTATAAATTCAAGATGATGGCTTCCAAATAATTTTTTGTTTTTGTATAAATGACGATAACTCCGTTGTTATCAACGCAAAACTATTACTGCGACATATCATCTGTAGGAGAAATAAAAGTTATTTGTAACTAAGTCATAGTGAGCTAAGACCTACATTTGAAAAACTAAAGTTGGTGCTGATATCTCAAATTCTAGAAGAGTTGGTATAAATTTCATATTTTTTTCGAAATCACTTCGAAAATCTGCCATGAGAATGTGAAATTCCTATTTGAATATTTTCATAAATAAAGAAGTTGTGGGGGAGACATGAAAATGATCAAAATCTGTTTTTTGCGTATAAAACAAAAACGAATAGATTTTATCAAAATATTCTTTCACATCATAGTTGGCCTTGACAAACTCCACATTTGGTGTAATTTAACCGACCTCGTATCTCTCACCGTTAAAAAGATACCCATGGTGAGCATGGTGAGTGGGACACACTGTATATGTGTATCCATTTTTTCATGTTCATAATTTGTCTGAGAATATTCCTATTCAATTATTTTTCTCTTGATAATATATCTCTCAGTGTAAAATTGATTTCATATCAGGAAAATAACTTTCTAAATATGTTCAAATTATTATTTATTTAATTTGTATTCACAAGGCGATTCTATTTTCAGGATGTCATCTCCTTCCGGTGCTCAACAATCTCAGGTATGTAAGTATGTATGTGTAATGTGTATGATGTATGAGTTACAACGAGCAAATAGTTACGAATAAAATAAGGCTTTTTGTTTGCCATCTTGTGCAGGTATGTATCAAGTTTGTTCAATATTTGAACTGGGGCGTTTCACTTACGCAAATTTGCTTTGACTAGAATGTTATATTATAACTTGTAGCCTTTAATTCATCTCTACGAAAATGCTTAAAGATAAATATATAATGAGTTTCTGGTAGGAGTGGTGAGCATTACATTAAATGAATTTTAAGTTAAAAACTAACAAAAACAATTTGTTGCGCTTACGAAATATTTTGTTGTGGATATATGGCACTGAGATTTTGTTGAATTCACGAAATTTTTATTGACTGAAAAAAAAATTGTGTCTTTTCATGATCGTCTGATATTAAAAAAATACTATTTTCGATTATGTTTAGAAACTTGGATAAAATGTAGAATTGCATTATTTCAGGCACAAAAAATTAATCCTCGAATTAATCACTCATGTATACATATATCAATCTAATCCCCGGATTTATACTTGGCTAAATATAGGTCTGGCCTATTCGAACATCAAGCTAAGAGGAGAAGCATTTGATTTTTTTTTCAAACCGAGAAAGAAGTAGAACATTTCATCATGAAAAATCATACTCCGGAGTGTACCTATAGAACTTTCATAATTTTCTTAGGAATGTCGACGTTCAGGTATATTTTACTACATCCCTGTGTATAATTTGAATGTATCATCGTAGATATTGAAGAACTTTTAATACAAACATAGTAGGGTTTTCTTGAACCATCCAGACAGTGATAAAAAAGACAAATAGGTACACATCACACATTGTTAATAATATGCAAGGTGTAACATAAGTACGTTGAAATATTCGAGTGAGACAATTTTGCAACGTTTCGGATATACAGGGTGTTGAAATACAGAAAACAAATCATTTTTCCATACAAATTTCATAGGAAAAAAGTTGAATACTTTGACGAGACCGATCACCTACTTAGTTTTGTTATGTTCTCATCTCATCTTAAAATTGTCTCAGGAGTACGTCACTTGAATATTCAAAGGTACTTATGTTACACCCTGTATAAAATATCTGACGTCGGTGATCGATTCACATGACGAATTATTGTATTGCATTTGATTTATTTCTTGAATTCGTATAATTTTGTTTGAGTTCACAAGAATATTCGTAGCAAAAAACAGTGGGACAACGAATTTATTATAGACAAGCCATAACTCCTAGAATATTAGGTGTATCAAAATGAAATTCATAATGGGTCTATGATATGTGGAGAGGAAAGTATTCGCATATTTGTCACTTCCTAGTCACTTCCGGTTTTACCGGAAATGGCTCAGGATTTGAATTTTTAATGGAACACCCTGTATATTATAATATTTTTTAATTCCTGAGACAATTTCAGAATATGACATTTTCAGAAGTTTCCGGAAGTTTTTATGCCTACTTCATTTTTTCAGAATCACTTTCAATATTGCATCTAGGAGGCGATGATCGGACTTAAACTCATCTAAGGACTTCAGGTGATGTCAGAAAATTATAATCGCAAAGTTTTAGTGACTATTAGTATGATAGATGCGAAAATGACGAGTTGACAAAATCACATTTCCGTGTCTAACTATTATTTTTCAAATGGCAACCATTTTTTGATTTTTGACAAGCACTTTTCGAAAAATGTTTTTTATACGAATATAACGTCTGCTCATAAGACTTATGTGTCACTGTTATTACCTGGGTGTTTTGTTTTCCAAAGAATACTCAAAAAATTATGTCATCATGATGACTATATCCATGACACACTTGACAAATGTGACTAAATGAATTTCTTGTATTTTCTCTAGTGATATTGAATTTATGTTCTTATTTTCAATCCAATCGCAAATAAATTGGTAGGTATCGTTAGTTTCGTTAATAAACCCTTTTTTCGAAAAGTGCTTGTCAAAAATTGATTGTGATCTGAAGAATAATGGTTAGCCACGGTAATGTAATTTTTTCAACTTGTCTTCTTCCTATCTATGATACTAGTCACTAAAATTTTGCGATTATAATTTGTTGACATCACCTGAGGTCCTTAGATAAGTAACGTACAATCATGGCCACCTAGAAGCAATATTAAAAGTGACTCTAAAAAAATTAAGTAGGCGTAAAAATTTCTGAAAATGTCATATTCTGATCCAGAATTGTCCCAGGAATTCATAAATGTTATAATATACAAGGTGTTCTATTTTAAAATTCAAAACCGGAGCCATTTCCAGTGAAACCGAAAGTGACCGGGAAGTGGAAAACATTTATACAAAAACTTTCTTCTTCATATACCATATACCCATAATAATGTTCATTTCGATACACCAAATATTCAAGAAGGTATGGCTTGTCTAGGCTCTGGAATTCATTGCCTGTGGAAGTATTCCCAACAACATATAATCTCCAAAATTTCAAAAACAATTCCAATACCTACCTCCTGTCCCTATCCTCCCTAGGAACGCACGATGTTCTCTGAACATTATAGGGATTCCCTTTCGTGCGCTCCAAGCGATAAAAAAAATAGTTTCGTTGACATCCGGTAGAAGTAGTCATCATCATTTTTAAAAATGGATCCTGTCCCCTAGGGCGTAGATATGGGGGAGAATATAATAGGGGTAAGCACCCCTCTCCCCCAAGAATATTAATTTGTAAGATTGAAAACAGATATAATAGACGTTATTTCTGTTTGATTTGTGATTTTTTGTTCAAAGACGTTCAGTTTTGTTTTCAATTCTTATATACATTCATTATTTATGGCTCTCTGCAACTTGACATAGAAAAAGCATTTACTCCCCCCAAGAAAAAAGATTTTCGACTCCCCTGCCTGTCACGTAGACTTTTGACACTATATAATAATAATAATAATGTTTTTATTCATTATTTACATATTCGCAAACTGATGATACATGAAATATCTATATAGAAATATATGAAACAAAAAATGAAGGGCGGGGTTTAGCTACAGAGCTGCTTTTGAACCCAAGCGGAAGAATATATGAACATATATCACACACATACTAAAATAACTACATAGCTGCTTTTAAACCCAAGCGGAAGATGGAAGAATATATGAACATATATCACACACATACTAAAATAACTACATATATAAGATGACCTGAATACAATAAAAAAATAATGATACTTCTAAAGTATATGTGTACATAAGCATGCCTTGCCAGAAACATTACTTTCAATCTTTTTTTGAAATTTTTGAGAGATAGATTCTTATATCCCACAGAGGTGGCATTGTACTGTGTTGTATAGTGTTCATATGACCACCATTTCAACTTCGAGAAAATTGACGCCATCGCCATATTGAAAAGAAAATACGAGATGAATTATTTTTCAGGAAATGTGCGGAGGCGGAACCAGAATTAGCTGTCCAGTTGGACGTTTTCGACGAGCAGCGGGACAGCGATGATGCACAAACCCTTCAGGGACCACATGGTGTTGATCTCAATTCGCCCCTGGACGTTTTTTACGCTATACTCAAACAGGTTAGTGTAAAACAATGATCTCAAAACTCAATAGAAACACCTGGAAGGGATCCCCTGTGAACAACGAGTGCGAGTGAGGCAAAAATATTGTTCTGGCAACTCGCAGTGGTTACGGATACCTATCTCTTTCTATCTTATGTTGGTTAATGGGAACCGCTCGCATTATTTGAAATTTTTTTTTGCTTCCCCATCCCGTGTATTTGCTCACGAAGAGAGGCATATGATGACAGATTGAAGTGGGACAAACATATTGATGTTGTGACAAAGAAAATAGCTTCAATCATTGGTGCATTGTCGTTCTAGATGACAATAACCTAGTTAGGTAGTTAGTAAGAAAAGAAAAATGAGGAAAATATGTAGTTCAGGTCGTTTTCCTCAAGGAAGGAATTCCTCTTCAGCATCATATTCCAAACTACATTGATGAGTCTGAATTTATATAAATATTGGTAGGTACCTATTTTGTCCCTAGTTTCAATGTCCTGTTCCATTCTGAAATGAATTTAATGACTTTTGACTATGGAACAATTTATAGCGGAACCAAAGTCAAGTTCTTGGTAATTTTTATACCGAAACTAATAGTTCTAGTAAACTAGAAACTAATTAGCTGATTGCTACAAAAATTTTGTATAGGTACAAACTTGTTATCATTTTATTTATATATACCTACCATAAACAAACTTGAAACCGAACCCTCCTTCCAAAACCGTTTCTTATTCTTCATTGGCAAGAAACAGTTTCCGTAAATTATTGGAAACATACAGTATCATGTTAGCTTACTCCAAAAACTCCCATTCCTGGAATATCAATGCATTAAATTTCAAACATTATGCGATCCAAGAAAAAAATGTCACCTTGGAATCCAATGAATATGGCATAAACCCATTGATACCTCAGGATTTGAGGCTCAAATTCACAACAGTGGGGATTGGGGAAACCATGTCTTGATAATTTTACACCTCCACCTCCTGGGGTGCGAAGTTCTCAGATGACATTGCAAAATAACACAATCATACTCGTACTTTAATAGAAAACCAATATACTAGGAGAAATAATCAGTTATTATTGTAATATTCAGGGATACGAATTCAAAGTTCAACATCTTCATCGCCTTCGTATCAAATATCACGTCAATGATGGAAAGCACGTCTGTGGCTGAGTACTTATTGGAGAAAAATAGAAGAAGAGAATGTCAACCTAATATGGTCTATTTTGACATGAACAAATGAGCTCTTTCCACATTCTGGTCCCCAGCGCCACTTGACAGACAGACATATTTCGATTCACTGAAGAGACAATATTATACCTCCTCGCACTAGGTCGCCTACTAGGTTTTCATTTAGATCGACAATGATTGGTGCATTGAGATGTCCCAAACCTAATATTAAAATTGCAAACATGATTCTTTACTCTCATATACTGAGTCGTATCAACTATTTAATAAATGTGTGGGGATCTTGTTCGAGAAATAATTTTAATAAAATATCAACATTATATAGAAAATCGTTAAAAGTACTGCGTCGTCTCCCATTTGATACACCAACCAATCAGTTGTATGAAATAAGAAGGACTTATTCTTTAGATGAAATATATAGGTCTGTTAAAATTTCATATAATATCATAAATAAAAAATTGAAGACAAATTTTGATACGGAATTCTGAAATTCATAATCATGAAACTAGACAATATAACTCGTTTCATCTTGACGCCGCTAGCTCCATATTCGGACAAAAAAGATTCACTCATTCAGCCTTAACTGAATTCAATAACAGACTGTGACAGAAGAAAGGACGAATCAATATTGAAAAGATATTACACTATTTTGAAATCTGAAAATTATCGACGTGAAATTTAAAGTTTTTAACAGTAGGGGAGCCTGAGTTGTAGGCATCTTTATCATTCTTTTGAAGTAATCAAATATCTGATGTCACTTCTGTCACTCTAATTCTGTGATTTGATTTCAAAAAATTGCGAATTCAGTGGTTGTTTAGTAATATACGTAACCGCGAAGTCGAATGGAAGATAAAAGGACTTGTAGTTCTTTCTCGGAGACGGTATATTATTGACTCATTTTTCGGAACTATAGCACAACAAAAGCCATCAACAGTGTATATACATATATGTGATATATATCCGGGAAAAAAAGTACTTACTTTTTTCCCACGGGACAAAAGTAATTTATGAAAAGTGACATTTTATAACCTGCCAACCGAGATGAAATGCCAAACTTTTTTCCCGTCACAAAAAAATAACTTTCGGTAGCCCACGGGCGTCGATTATCTTGGAACGACCTATAACCTCACCTAACACTCCGTCTCGTACCTTTTAGGTGGCAGAAACCCCGCAGGAAATTCCCTTCCTCGCCATCCTGCAGCACCTGTTGCGAGTCGACCCGAAGGAGCCAATCAGCGACCTGGTGTGGGACACGGCGGAGCGGCTCGTGCATCGCGCCACCCTTCTGGAGCACCGCGAAGACGCCGCCCGTCTGCTGAGGTCGCCGAGCGCCGCCTCCAAGGTCTTCTGTCATTGCCAGACGGGCAGGCGGCAGTCGGTGGGCGGGGGGCCGCTAAGTCCGACGCCGGGGCCGCCTCCACCGCCACCTCTAGGTGAGAGTAATGGAATCTCACACTAAATAGCAAACGATAGACAACGCAATGCAAGCATTAATCATTAAAGGGTCTATACGCCCCCTACAATCCTCAACGTCAAACACGGATGAATGAATAAAATCGCTAAAGGTGGGGATAACATCACACTGAATAACAATAGATAGACACCGTGAAAGCTCACACCAAATAGCAAACGATAGTCAACGCGATGCATGCATTAATCATTAAAAAGTCTATACGCCCAACAATCCTCAACGTCAAACACGGATGAATGAATAAAATCGCGAAAGGTGGGGATAACATCAGACTGAATAATAATAGATAGACACTATGACTTATTAAAAAGAATCAAAATGTATACGCCAGGACCGCGATTCTTGACGGTGATAGAGTATAGAATGTTCCCTGGGGAGCGCTCCCCGATTTGTTTCTACTCCTTCATATCGAAACAAGAAGTCCGTATTTTAGAGCAAGAGGGAGGGAGCAAAATCATAGCTCCCTGGTAGACGGTGATGTCACGTGTTGCCAAAGGTGACGACCAATCAGGAACGATTATTTTCTGACATTCTGACATTCTACAGACAAGGTGAAGGGTGAAGGTGAAAGTTGAAAGTTTAATATAATTTTTTCCAAGTTGAATTGATGAATAATTCATTCAAGAATTATTTTCAAATTGGTCATGAGGTGAAAATAACACCTCATCAGTGAGAGCAGAGGCTCTTGTGATTGCTTCAATAAGAGGATTCACAATGTTAATGAGGTGCCTCGTTAAACCATTTGTTAGCCGAAACATTTTCAACAATTTCTGATCAGACAACTCAAAAGGGTTTTATTTGAGAGGTAAAACCACACCGACGTCATTTTGTACTTCAGCATCCAGAATATATCCATTCATTTGGTCCCATATTATTGCATTTGTCATGTTCATCAAGCACAAAAATGTTTTGTGAATCCAGCACATTCGAAATGCCACGAAATATGGAAATTTAAGAAAGCTAACCTTCAATCATTGATGAGAGACCAGTCATATTTTTACTCATTTTCATAGCAGGGAGCCAATCAGAAGTGTTCCCGGTTTGGTTCTCTTAAAAATCTTGATAGATGCATTAGCAACTCCCTAGGAAGCGCTGCTATTGTGATATTCAGTTCAAGAATACGGTTTTCAGTTTCTGGCAGTGGACACGCCCACTTTCTCTCGATTGTTCTACTCCCCGATTTTCAAGAATCGTGGCCCAGAACAGCTGGAGAGAGGCTCTTGGGATGAGGCAGTCCAAAGTCTATATAGGAAACCCGTCACGAAGGCAGAACAATGCCCTCTTGGCTTTGAACAGGAAGGAGCTGAAACTGGTGGTGGGCCTTCTGACAAGGTACTGCTACTTGAACAAGCATCTCAGCATACTTATACTCACATCCCCACTGAATGCCCGGCAGTAGTGGCAGCAAGGGATATCCATTTTAGGGGCAGTATCCTGGACCCAGAGGATGTTAAAAAGATTTGGCCTTGAAAGTTGGTCTCCTTTCTCGCGAGATCGGCGTTCTCCATGGCTGACTTGCGATCCCAGGAATGTGGGTGCATAATGGGCCCGAAAAGAGAGGCCTAAGTGCGACAGGTCCCGGACCGCCCACACACATACATACATGTATACGCCAATAATCCTAATTGCCAAACGTGGTTAAATAAATGAAGTCGCGAATGGTGGGGAATACTTCAGACACCGCGAATAATTCATAAATCATGAAGTATACGCCAATATTTTTAAAAGCCAAAAACGGATACATGAAGGAAATCGCGAATGGTGGTGATAACCTCAGACTAAATAACAATAGTTAGACACAGCGATTTATTCATAAATCATCAAAAAGAATACGCCAACAGTCCTGAACACCAAACACGGTAGAATGAATCAAAATCGCAAATGATGGGGATAACTTTACGGAATAATTGCCTGAGAATTGATATTCTTCATGAATATATTTTGAATATCTGATAAATGTGTGTGTTCGCTTGACCTGCTCGTTGCTACATGTGAAAGCTCCAGCTACTTGGCACTCAGTATCATTTCAGCTAGCCTCAAGTGCTCTCTGTATCCTTTATGAAGAATATAAGAGGTTTGATTTGAATAGATCCGGCTCGAAGGACCAATATGCTTGATGCTTGGTAGGTAGTGGACTGTATTGTATTTTATCGATAAATCTTGTATTTCAACAATACGTCAACATGTTAACAACAATTGATATTTTCCTATGCCATATAGGATGATACAAGTATTAAACAGTTTGAATGTAAATTGATTAATCAAATCTCTCGTGTTGTAACATGAAAATTCGTCATTTAGTAACGACTCACTCCTTCGAAATATCAAGACAGATTTTTTATGGAAAAATCTTCCGCAGAAAGCGTTCTAAATGACGGAAAATTCGATTTTTTGATGTGCGTGAAATGATGTGAGTCCCATGGAAATATTATTTCGAATTTAATCGCACCAGAAGAAGCTCCATATTACTATTAACAAAACCACAACGTTTTATCGAAATTGGTGAAAAGACAACTGAGGAATGAATAAAAAAACGATTTTTCATGGAAATATTGATACCTTGTATCTCGAAAATGAAGCAAGTAAGGACACATATTCATATGAACTCCATTTCCGAAAATATCACAAGGTATCCTTGAATTTTTTCGGTGTTACTAATTACATACACCCTGTATAATGATACCCTCCATAAAGTATACTGTGTGAAATATCACGTCCGAAAATATGTCACTACCTGCCGGTCTATATTCGACACTTATGTTTCGACATAATTTTTCAGGACCAGTTCTACCTCCGCCTCCTCCACCGCCTCCCAACATTCCGCCGCCGCCCAGCATACCCGCCCCTTTAGCGCCCGCCCCCCCTCCTCCCCAACACAAACACAGAGCGCCCGCCCCGCCCTCCCACAACGAAAACGATGCTGTGATAGAAAAACTACCCCAACAAGAGATACCTGCGCCGAGGACGAAGATGAAGACCATCAACTGGAACAAGATACCCAATAACAAGGTGAAAACAATGTGATATACGCTCAATTAGACTGGAGAACTCGGTATAAAATTGCACTTATCATGCAATGGTTTTTTTTTTCGAAAATTTTTTTGGTACTAACGTAATTTTGTCTGAAATATACAAATTTCACAATGACCATTATGAAAAAACCGCTATTTATCGAAATAGTTTACGAAAAAGTCCGAAATTTCACATTATTTTTCCACCCATCTTAGATCTCCATTTACAACTACTTGTCCTTCTTTTTCCATCACTGGACACTTTATATACTCGCGTTGTACTCGAATAACACAACAACAACAAAATCAACAAGTAGTATATGGTTTATTTGAAATTTTTTCATATGCAAATGAGGTGATAATCAACAGTTTGGTTTCTCGATTTTTTTTTACATTCCACCTTTATTTGGCATCTTGTACTTCTGAGATGTTTATGATTTGATCTGATAATTGAATGGATGTCAGCTGTTGTCCTGGTGTGATTGTTTACTTCACTTAAAATAAGAAGAATTTCCAAATAATTCACACTTCTTGTTGATTTTAGTAAATAAAATGTGTTAAGTACAGGGTGGCCAACTAAGACTCCAGAGTCCGATACCTCTGTTGTCTTGAGATATACAAACAAAAGTTTTGCATTCAAATTGAAGTGATAACCGAGCTTCACATTTCAAATTTTCTTTGAAATACACAGGGTGTTCCGTAAGGTCACAGCACATCAAAGCTATGTTTTTTTCATTAGAACACCCTATATTTTATTTCATTTTTGAATTCTCCCTGAAGATCTGATTTCAACGACGTATCATACTTAGGGTCTAGCAGTGAAAGTTACTGACATATAAGGTGTGCAAAATCGAGATTTTTCCAGGTTCAGGATTTTTTTCTGTCGAAAATGTTCATTATTCGTCAAAACGGTTTACATGTCCCTATCTCAACTTTTCACTCACTATCAATTGGTGTTCAATTGACATTTAATTGAAACAAATTATAAATTAAGATTTTTTGACCACCTTGTATCAATTTCAATTGAACACCAATTGATAGTGAGTGAAAAATTGAGATAGGGACATGTAAACCGTTTTGACGAATAATGAACAGTTTCGACAGAAAAAAATCCTGAACTTGGAAAATCTCGATTTTGCACACCCTATATGTCAGTAACTTTCACTGATAGACCCTAAGTATGATGGGTCGTTGAAATCAGATCTTCAGGGAGAATTCAGAAAAGAAATAAAATATAGGGTGTTCCAATGAAAAAAACATAGCTTTGATGTGCTGTGACCTCGGCTGTGACCTTACGAAACACCCTGTGTATTTCAAAGGAATTTTGAAATGTGAAGCTCAATTATTACTTCAATTTTGATACATGACTTTTTTGTATCTCTCAAGACAACAGAAAAACCGAACTCTGGAGTCTTAGTTGGCCACGTACAACGTGAGTATATGAATTGTCCATTATTGGAAAAAGAAGGGCAAGTTCGTTGTACATGAATTGTCCAGTATTGGACCAAGATAGGTGGCGAAAGAAGGTAAATGAAATGAATTTCGAACTTTTTCCTTTGTTCACATTTTCATAGTAAAATTTGTGTTTTTCAGGCGAAAATACGTAAGTACCAAAACAAATTTTCGAAAAAAAAACTATCGCATGATAAGTGCACTTTTACCTTTCAAAATATCATTTGTGATTTGAAAAAGATACGACTACGCCACTTTATTGGGCTTCTTTCATTTCATTGAGAATTTCCATTGGCATAACAAGTTTAATTTTCGTGATATGATATTTTTTATGAATATTTCAGACAAATTCTGAAAAGCGACAACATTGTCAACACAAATGCTGGAAATCATTGAAGTTTCTGGTATATATCACAGAACTCAAAGACCGAGTTCTATGGTATATATTCGAATGCATTAAAAAAATAAACAAAAATTATTCTCAAGATATAACATCTAGAATGGTACACTTTCGGGATGAGGTAGTGAATATTTTATATAAATACCATTCTATATATTAACTGATAATAAATTACAAAGTCCTTTGCCTTCTTGAAGGCTCCATCTTTGATGTCGTAATATAGCTTCGCCATCTTGAAAACACCATCGAATTCGTAAGTTGTCTCTTAATATTCGTGTTCTTCATCAGGAATCCGCAGGTGAATGTTTCCAGACGAATCGGATGATAAATTATGAAATCATTTGCCGTCTTGGAGGCACCATCTTTGATTTCTTAATCGCGTCTACCATCTCGAAGACACCATATCTAATTGTGAATTTTCACTCAATATTTGTGTTCTCTTCGACCTCAGAAACCCTCAGATGGACGTTTTCACGGGATTTGGATGATGAATGGCAAAATCATCCGCCATTTTGGAGGCGCCATCTTTGATTTCCGAATCGCGCCTGCCATCTTCAAGACATCATATCGAATTTGTTAATTTTCTCTCAATATTCGAGTTATTCGACCTCAGAAGCACTTCAGCTGATTGTTTCCATCAGGGGAATCGGATGATCAATGACAAAACCATCTGCTACCTGCGTCTGCCATATTGAGGACGTTATATCGAATCTCTGAATTCACTCTCAATATTCGTGATTCTCGAATCATATAATAATGAATAATAAAATCGTCCGCCATCTTGGATGTGCCATTCCGATTTTCGATTCAGAACTCGTTAATTCCCTTGATCATATACTAGTTGGATACTCAAAGGAAATTCTTCACCCTGAAATTTTTAACTCGGTTACAGTTGATTCAAAATAATGAGACGAATCCACTGGTGGAAATAAGAATGTGCTAAACAATATCGTCTTTTGGTTTCGAGTTATAAACAAAATTTTGCTATTCGTGTTTGTAAAATGCAAAGTTAGAAGAAAATAATGACTTTCCAGAGGCTTTTCTGTAAAATCCAGTAGCTTTCTTTTTTTTTCAGTTGGGGCTGCGTTTGTAAAAAAATCTTGTGTGTATTTCAGACACAAAATGTGATTGCTCACAATAGCTGCTCGAGAAGCTTTTCATCAAGAAGAAACATTTTCTTCAGTCTGTTCTTTCGTTCATTGTTCTAAAAAAATTAAGGTGTATTTGATATCATGTTGGCTTTTATCAACCCTTTGTTCAAACTAGAAAGTAAACTGTACACAGCGAAATATTTTTAATCCTATATAACGTCGTCAGGTGGTTGGAAAAAACAACATATGGACCCAGGTCGCCTACAATCACCAGAATTCCCCTATGGCGGACATGGATTGGTCGGAGATGGAGGGCTTGTTTTGCCAACAAGCGCCCACGTCAGCGCATTCTTCGCCGAAATTAGGTCACAGGGATTCCTCCGATAACTTGGACAAAAGAATGAGGAAGGAATCGTCGGAGGTAAGGATTATTCAATATTTTTCAATCACCATCAGTCCTCGACTGTGACATATCCAAAGTTATTTTTTTGCACCAAAACTCGTTTATTGGCAAACATATGAAAACAAATCGATCGATTTCAACTAATTTGGTTTGAATGAGTTTGCTTCAAATACCTAAGTTTCAGTGATAACAATAAAAAATTAACTGATATAATGGGGAATTTTCCTTCAGATGAGTTTTCATAAAATAAGTTCGGAACTCTCCAGTTTTATGTCCACGCTGTACAGAATGGCGACCGATGAAGCCCAAGTCGTTTTCATTTTCAAATTAAAGGAATTATAAATTTTCGGGGCGGGAAACTATGACGTACATTCTAAATCTAATCTGAAAATAGCTGTTGGTGAAGAATATAGCTAGCAAATAGCTAACAAATAAAAAAAATAAAAGAAGAAGTAAAACTGGTAAATAAAAACATACATAACCACAAATGCACTCGGAGCAGGAATACAGAAGGTAGTTGGCTTCATTCTGACAGGTTATGGTTTTGTTATTCATGCATTGAAATATCTCAGATAGAGCTCGATCCTAAACAAGAATATCATTGAATCAATGAATCACTATCGGCTACATTCAATGATACTATCCTTCCTAATTTACTGCCATCGGTCAGAAGAGAATGAAGCCGACAGTCATCGCTCCTTCCTCTTGTTGTGTCTGTCAGTATTTTGAGTGGTGTGGACGGACTCGAAGTATTAGACGCTGTTGCAAGATATAATCTGCAATTTTCCGAGAAAAGAGATCCGCCTTATCAATGAACGAATTCATTAGGAAAGAAATGACTGACAAGTTATGAATAACATATTGTAATATAACGATAGTGAAAAATCATAGATAATATCGCAAAATATCATAATTTATCTGTATCAGTAATCAACTTCATTCAGCCAATGAGAGATTGATGGGAATTATTCATAATACTTGACAAAGTAGGATTGAGTTATGATATAGTTATTATGCATTCAAAGAACAATTTTCGGAAATTTAGACATATTGATGATGTCGGCAACGTCGTACTGGCACAGGGAATCGTATTCTAACTCTGTGTGAATGTGGATTTTCAGAAAGTACGTCATAGGAATGGTGGAGGAGCCAAGTCCCTTTTTTATTTATTTTTTCTGAAGTGTTTGATCTTATGAAAAAAAGAAAAAAATACGTATATATTAATTTTTTACAAACTTCACAGTGAGAAAAAAACCGCAATATAGGAAACTTTTGAAGAACGAGTTGTATTCACAGATTTTTTCACTAATTTAAGAGAAAAACCAAATCACTTCAACTCTAGCAAATTTTACAAATCAAATTAAATTTGCGGTCTTCCTTCTATGATCGATCAGATGTGATGTTATGCGTGTTGCGTACATGTGACTGTAAGCGATTTTTGCCCAAGTTATTTATACAGTCATTAAGTGTATTTAGGAAATAAATCGTTTGTGTTATGATGTTGCGAATGACATTCAAGATAAGGTTTTGTTTTCTCGGAGAATTGAGAATTGATTCGACTCTTATTACACAATTAGGTCAAAAAAATCAAGATGTTTCACGCAGATAGATTGAATAAATTTTGACAGTTCAATATGTAAACAAGGTTTTATCGAGGAGGAGAAGTTATCAAAGTCGATCGAAAATATCACACCTAACGTCATGAAATTACACTGGAAATTTTTTGACGTTCATAGGTAAAATGGCATTTACATTCAACTTCAGGTTATGTCGAATTTATTCATAAGTTCCTTGTAAGAAAATATATTTCTACCAACTTTGACTAAATGAATTTGTAAAAGACTGAGATATTGATGAACTATACTACCATATACAATCTCTATTAGTAGAGATTTTCTGTGGCTACTTGGTACCGATTTATTTTTTATTATTTCATTCAACTGAAGTCGTCTAATCATATTTTATTCAACCTTTTAATTTAACGTGGAAAAAATTCATTTATGCTAAAATAGTACCTACTTCGAGTTTCTTGTGAGACATTTTTGATAAACTGATCGAAATTTTTTATTATAATTTTGTGTATCTATTAAAGAGTAAGTTAATTGTTTCAAGTCAAGAATAATTATTAGTTCGAACTACCACCAGCTGCCTTTATTAATATTTTACGTAACTAAAGTCGGTATTTTGTATTTTAAACAGCGTAATCTTACACCAGTATTTTTTTGAATTTGGTGTGAGTTTTCTTACCGAATACCACTCTAGCTTCAATTAGTTTCGAAAATGTTCTGATTTTTTTGTGTTCTCGAAAAAATGTCCGATAATAATTGAAGCTTTTGTGGTATTTTAAGTGATAATTCTTTTCCACGAAAACTTGTATATTTGACAAAAATATGAAAAAAAATTGATGAAAACACGAGTCCTTTAAGGACGAGTTATTTTACCTAAATTCGTTATTATATCTGTGTCAAGAGTTTTTTTTTTATAATTTTCTATTTCAGATTACCCTTTTGGATGGCAAAAGAAGTCTGAACGTGAACATATTCCTCAAACAATTTAGAAGGTGAATAACCTCGTCATAGAAATAAGAATGCCTTATTCTTATTTTGTAAACTTTTCAGCTCAAACGAAGATATCGTCCGATTGATTCGGGAAGGGGAACATGACGATATCGGCTCGGAAAAGCTCAAAGGTCTTTTGAAGCTTTTACCTGAAGTGGACGAACTCGACATGTTGAAATCCTTCACTGGGGATTTCAACAAACTAGGAAATGCTGAGAAGTTTCTCATACAATTAACAAATCTACCAAAGTAACTATACAATAATACATAAGTATCTGCTAATAATTCATTGCAAAAGTTCCAAAGAATATATCTTATCTGCGATGTAAATTTATTTTCCTACGACCACCTATGAAATCACATATCACCATTAGGAATGAGAATAAAGTGAAAACGAACAGTGTGGCAATCTTTCCGCACGCTCACGTGATCTTTGTTTGGTCTATATACAGGGTGTCCGCTAAAAGGAGGTCAATCCATTAACCATATATTCCTTGAACAAAAACAATATGAGTTTCTAGATTCATTTTAGCCCTTTATATTCGATATACAGGGTGTCAAAGTTGGAAATTAAAAAGTGTTTTTTTTTTAATTACTCGCGTATTTAATGAGATATTAATCTCAGAATTGGTACATTACTTCAGCACAAAGAGTTACATCGTATGAGGAAAACAAAACAGAAAATAACTGTCAAATATTTAAAATACTGGGGGTCAAGTACACACTTACCCCCATATATTTTTTGTACGTGCGCTAATGACTTCCTATCTATTTTTCTCCAAGTGTTCAATCATTTTTGTGTATTTTTTGTCTGTAAAATTTCGATAAAATTATTTGGTTTTTAAGATACGGGAAACGGAAAAAAAATCGGAAAAAATCTAAAGAAAATATTTTCGGAAATTTTAGGTGAAATTGTGATATCCATGATTTTAATAGCTACTTGATGAAAGAAATAGCAGATCACCTTAATTAAAAGGGCTCGCATGTGTATTCAAAAATTGGAGGTCATATCGAGCAATTTATTTAGATGTGTCAAATTTCTATCAATATTTTTTTGTTAAAATTATTTCAATACATTCGCTCTGAGCACCTGGTATTTTCATATTTACCTTTTCGTACGTAAAAATTTACGCCCTCTTCCAATTTCGACGGAATAAATAGGAGTACATGAACATTATGAGATTACCGTAAGCCGCATAGGCATCGAACAATAACCAGTACTTTTCGAATTATCTTGAAAACAAATGATTTTTTTCTGTGACGGGAAAAAAGTTTGGCATTTCATCTCTGTTGGCAGGTTATAAAATGTCACTTTTCATAAATTACTTTTTTCCCGTGGGAAAAAAGTGAGTACTTTTTTCCCGGATATATATCACATATATATACTCTGTTAATGGCTTTTGTTGTGCTATAGTTCCGAAAAATGAGTAAATAATACCGCCTCCGAGAAAGAACTGCAAGTCCTATTATCTTTCATTCGACTTCGCGGTTTCGTATATTACTAAACAACTACTGAATTCGCAATTTTTTAAAATCAAATCACAGAATTGAACTGACAGAAAGTGACATCAGATATTTGATTACTTCAAAAGAACGATAAAGATGCCTATAAAACGCAGGTGTCCCTATATAATGTTAAAAACTTGAAATTTCACGTCGATAATTTTCAGATTTCGAAATAATGTGATATCTTCTCAATATTGATACGTCCTTCCTTCTGTCACAGAAAAAAATAGTGTATTATACACGGGAAAAATATTAGATTTTAGCTCACGGTTTTTTGTCTCCCTCCGCTACGCGTCGGGAGACAACACAACCTGGAGCTAAAATCTACTACTTTTTTCCCTTGTATAATAAATAACTATTATCGAAATTTTACATGAGACAAAAAATACTCAAAAATGATTGAACACTTGGAGAAAAATAAATAGAAGGTCATTAGCGCACGTAAAAATTATGGGGGTAAGTGTGTACTTGACCCCAGTATTTTGAATATTTGACAGTTATTTTCTGTTTTGTTTTCCTTACACGATGTTACTCTTCGTGCTGAAGTAATATACCAATTTTGAGATCAATATCTTATTAAATACGCGAGTAATTAGAAAAAAACAGTTTTTAATTTCCAACTTTGACACCCTGTATATCGAATATGAAGGGCTAAAATGAAAAATGGTATTCAGAAACTCATATTGTTTTTGTTCAAGGAATATATGGTTAATGGATTGACCTCCTTTTAGCGTACACCCTGTATAATGTTTGGATGATTATAATACTGAATTATCATATGTTAATACTTACCATCACTGCTTATATATTCATTCTCTTTAGAGTTTAAATTTTGCTATGAAAGCTAAATAACTTTAGATTTCGGTATTTGTCATTTTGTCATAATCTGCGAGACATAACCTCATTGCTGTCTACACGGATGTGGCTCGGGTCTATGCAGCGTCGGGCGTATCACTCAATTTTTATTCATAGGAAATAAAAAATGATTAATTCACCGAATAATAAGTTTAATTTTACCATAACGTGTTTTTGTTTCAAATTATATATTTATGGTCGTAGGAAAAATAGTGTATATAACTCGTTGAAAATTGTATTTCATACATTCGTTACATTATTATCATCTCACTTTCCACACTAGTTATGTAATATACAATTCTAGCAACAAATTAACTCGAATATCACGGAAAAAGTTTTTTTAAACAAATTCATTGAAGCTGGCATCGAAATGTATGTAAATATGTTTGTTTAAACATCATCTACATTTGAGTATCTCAAATTTTTACATATTTGAGAATTGTAATTCAAATTGATCAAAAATTATAATCTTATAATAACTGACAAAATATCTGACCCGACAGGTTTCATTGTCACACCTTGTCCTTATATCTTGAATCATTATGAATATTGAAAAAATAGTAATTAGAGTCTTTCAAGCAATAATGGAAACACCAATTTATTTTTCAGTTATAAACTAAGGATCGAAAGTATGTTGCTCAAAGAAGAATTTGCTTCGAACATGGGCTATCTTGAACCTAGTATCAATTCTATGATAATAGCTTCTCAAGGTAACAACAATATACAGGGTGTTTCCGAAATTGGAGCGATAAATGAAGTAGGGCATAGTAGAAGACTAAGAACAAAAACGATATGAAAATACCTATATTTTTGTCGAAAAAAATATTTTGGAAGATATCACATTTTGAAATTTGAAAATAAAATTATTGATTAGAGGTTTACGACCGAGCCTATTGAATGTCATGACATGTGCATATGATTCGAGCGTATGTTATTTTATTATCGCTTCCATATCGAAAACATCCAGTATAATTATATTTTTCTGCCAGTGTTTTATGTTACTAATTATTCATGCTATTTTCAGATTTGATGACAAACAAACCCTTACAAGAAGTTTTATATATGGTAGTCATAGCTGGAAATTTCTTGAACTCTGTAAGATTTTTTTTAAATCCTTTATTCCAATTTCATAAATTACAAATTTACTACCAAAAAATAGTCCCAAATCGACCTGGATTGGTCGGTCTCGGGATTACAAAATATTGACATCAAGTGCGTTTGATATATGATATGATACGATATGATATATTACATATACATATCGGGTGGTCACAAAAAAAACGGAATTTTTTATTTTCCTCGTGGTTTCATCATTTCTCAACCGAATTCGAATTTCTTGGGGTCGTTTTATAGCTAAAGGACTATATTTGGAATATTTGAAAATTTCATAATGAACAAAAACAAAATGGAGGATTCTACGAAAGTAATGTCATTTACAAAAATCGCTGGAGACAAAGAAAATTAGATTTTTTCCAACCTGTACCGATGTCATCTTACGCTATTCATTTCTGAAGAGAATGAGTACTCGAACATCGAAATCGAACGAATAGTCCAGTCACAGTGTCCAGTAGATACACTCATTTCTTTGCAATTTGTCATGGAGTGAATGTGCTAATCTCGTATAAACGATTATTATTATTTTGATTCAGGCTTCATGAAAATTCAATCGAATTTGGATCTCTTAGAGGTATTTCAAAGATAAAGAATTCTAGTACATAATGGAACATTTGAAAATCCAATAATTGAAAGAAACAAAATGGTGGAGAATCCAGAATTTTTGTGATAAAAAAATGTTTATTCTTTCAATCAGGACCGATACAATTTTAGATCATTGATTTCTGAAAAGAATGAGCACTCGAACATCTGAATCGAACAATTAGTCCAGGAGAAACACGTTCTTTTTGGCAAAGTGGTATGGAGTGAATGTGCCAATCCCGTGATATGAATTACTTTTAGTTTGCTGGCTTTATCAGAATTCGATCGAAGTTGGATTTCACTCCATAACACTTTGCCAAAAAGATCGTGTTTCTCCTGGAATAATTGTTCGATTCAGATGTTCAAGTGCTCATTCTTTTTAGAAATCAATGATCTAAAATTGTATCGGTCCTGATTGAAAGAATAAACATTTTTTTATTCGCCAGAGATTTTTGAAAATCACAAAAATTCTGGATTCTCCACCATTTTGTTTCTTTCAATTATTGGATTTTCAAATGTTCCATTATGTACTAGAGTTCTTTATCTTCGAAATACCTCTAAGAGATCCAAATTCGATTGAATTTTCATGAAGCCTGAACCAAAATAATAATAATCGTTTATACGACATTAGCACATTCACTCCATAACAAATTGCAAAGAAATTAGTGTATCTACTGGACTATTTGTTCGATTTTGATGTTCGAGTACTCATTCTTTTCGGAAATGAATAGCCTAAGATGACACCGATACAGGTTGGAAAAAATCTGATTTTCTTTTTCTCCAGCGGTTTTTGTAAATGACAATACTTTGGTAGAATCCGCCATTTTGTTTTTGTTCATTATGGAATTTTCAAATATTCCACTGTATACTATAGCCCTTTAGCTATGAAACGACGCCAAGAAATTCGAATTCGGTTGAGAAATGATGAAACCACGAGGAAAATAAAAACTTCTGGTTTTTTTGTGACCACCCGATATACACATATACATTATTACATAGTACCCTATACATTTCCTCTTGTGATTAATGACATGTTTTTCCACCACTAGCCCTCGAACCTACTATTACTCACTGACTTCCTTTTAAACTCGTGGATTCGTATGTGACTACCAAATTTATTTATTCATTTTATTTATATAACTAGTGATTCATAAAGACACATTAATCTGACGCGAGAATGTCGGAGAAGGGAAAAAATGTAATACATAAAAAAAATTCATCATAAATCGATCATTAGGCATACAAAACTAAAACTAGACAAAATTTCTACAAAAATGACTCGGGTGAATATACTTTCTTCAGTCTTACGGAACAAAAATGATTGAAAAAAAATGCTAGTGGTGAAAAAATTTAATATACAGCTTCTTGGTAGTAAATAATATATTACCATGGGACCTTATTTATTTATTTTATTTATTTATTTATTGAACAAATAACTTCCAGACAGAATAGGCTCTGGTATAAGGAAGTACATAATTATATACCTATAGGTAAACATATCATTATACAAAATATATCAACAACTGTAAATTGACAAACAAAGAATAATATTTGTAAAAAAAAATGGCATGATCAATTTTATCCAGTTCGCTCAGAATTAATAAATTTTAGTTAAGGCTGAATGAGTGAATCTTTTTTGTCCGATTATGGAGCTAGCGGCGTCAAGATGAAACAAGTTATATTGTCTAGTTTCATGATTATGAATTTCAGAATTCCGTATCAAAATAAAATTCGACTTCAATTTTTTATTTATGATATTATATGATATTTTAAGAGTTTCAATTCTATATATTTCATCTAAAGAATACGTATTTGTTATTTCATACAATTGATTGGTTGGTGTATCAAATGGGAGACGATACAATACTTTTAACGATTTTCTATATAATGTTGATATTTTATTGAAATTATTTTTTGAACAAGATCCCCAAACATTTATTAAATAGTTGATACGACTCAGTATATGAGAGTAGAGAATCATGTTTGCAATTTTAATATCAAGTTTGGGAGATCTTCTCAATGCACCAATAAATGGAGATATTTTTTTGTCAGAACACATGTTTGTCCCACTCCAACCTGTCATCAAACCATATTCCAAGATATTTTATCTGGTCAGTTTGTTTTTAGAGTTCATTTTCAATTTGAAGGTTGAGGTAATTTTTTTTTTTTTGGTTTTGTTAGTATTTATCGATAAAAGGTTAGAGTGGAGCCATTTTTCAAGTCTTCATTTATCATATTTTCTGAATTTGAAGGATTCTTGCCTTCATATAAAAGTACTGTATCATCTGCATACATGGTATATTAACTCGTGAGACCAATTTCACTGATATTTTGAACATAAAGTAAATATAGTATAGGTCCTAAAACAGAGCCCTGTGGGACACCCTTATTGATTAATAGTTTATTTGACACAGAGTTGGTTGATTTTATATTGATTGTCCTATTTTCAAGATATGAATTCAAAATATTCCTCACAGTGCCTCTGAGTCCCATTGGGGATATAATCTTGGTTCTTGGGTGATAATGATATTCTTTACTATCGTGATGCATAATTATCTATTTTATGTAAGGTTACCTTCTTTTTAGGGCGGTTATGCTGGTAATGCCGCTGGAGTAAAGTTATCATCACTACAAAAAATAACGGATATTAGAGCGAATAAACCGAATATGAATCTCATACATTTTGTTGGCTTGGTGAGTATTTGAAAAACAGAATGTATCATATAAAGTGTAAATGTGTTTTTTCTGTGACGGAAAAAAGTTTGGCATTTCATCTCTGTTGACAGGTTATAAAATGTCACTTTTGATAAATTACCATTTTCCCGTGGAAAAAAAATGAGTACTTTTTTCCCGGGTATATATCACATATATATATACACTGTTGATGGCTTTTTTTGTGCTATAGTTCCGAAAAATGAGTCAATAATACCGTCTCTGAGAAAGAACTGCAAGTCATTTTATCTTCCATTCGACTTCGCGGTTACGTACATCACTAAACAATCACTAAATTCGCAATTTTCTGAAATCAAATCACAGAATTATACTGACAGAAGTGACATCAGATATTTGATTACTTCAAAAGAATGATGAAGATGCCTACAACGCAGATGTCCCTACTGTTAAAAACTTAAATTCACGTCGACAATTTTCCGATTTCAAAATAATGTAATATCTTCTCAATATTGATTCGTCCTTTCTTCTGTCACAGAAAAAAATAGTGTATTATACACGGGAAAAATATTAGATTTTACTTTTTTCCCTTGTATAATAAATAACAATTTTTTTTAGCAAGCTGAGCGTAAAAACAAAAACCTACTCACATTCACGGATAATATTGGTGTGTTAGAAGATGCTGCAAAGTGAGTATAATCACTTTTCATATGAATTTCCACCAAACAATGCATTTTTTTCATTTCAGGACAACAGTGGAACAACTACATAACGAAATCAATGCATTAGATGTTAGAATAAAAAAAATTCGAAAGCAAATTGAAATGCCAACGACTGAGGCAGAAATCAAAGATCAAATGACAGATTTTCTTCAGGTATATACCTCATAACAAAATGCAATTCTGTGAAAAAATTATAAAAACTCCTGTTGGGTGGACTGTTATAGATATATTTACCACAAAAACACTTCTGCTTCTACAGTCTGCCCAAAAACATACTAATAAATTGTTTAGGGTTGAAAGAATTTTCTTCCCACTGGCACTGACGTAGTTTTTGGAAAAACCGCTTCAACGTTGACCTTTTAAACATTATTTATTATATATTATTATAATAATTATATCCCTCAAATTGGCCCATGAATGATGTTTATTTCACAATTTTAACAATTCGAATTTTTCGCTATTCATCAATCTGAAAGTCTCTCTCAGATAATGAGCTCCTCACAAAATTGAGGTGGAAATATATGTCTCGCTTTCAGGACAAGTTACAAACTCATATTTTTGAATAATGTGAAAGCTTCCAAGAATTTCAAGTCTTGAATAAAATATTTTACGATGCGAAGAAAAACCAATCAATCCTTTATTTCTTAGATGGCTGAAAGGGAAGTCAGCATTTTACAACGAAACCTGGGAGAATTAGAACACGTACGACGACAACTAGCTGATTTTTTCTGCGAAGACGTCAACTCCTTCAAACTAGAAGAGTGTTTCCGGATTTTCCATGGGTTCTACTGTAAGTTCAGGCAGGCCGTTTTAGAGAACGAGAGGAGAAGAATCCAAGAGGAACAGGCGTACGAAAGAAGGAGGCAAAGAGAAGAATTGCTAGCCACCAAACGAAGACAAAGTGAGTAAAACTTTCCATAATCCATCAAACACCGAAAGGCAAAAAAACTGGCCAGAAAATAATTTATCTGAATTGATCGCCCTGTACTTTTTCTTTCTTGTCCAATTCTGGTGAAATGTTGACCAAATCGTAGATTCATGTTTCGGAGTGTTGCTGATGGCTTTGATCATTATTCAGGGAAAAACAAATGTTTCATGTTTTGGAGTGTTCTGAATTTTGATTCGTGAAAAAAGCTGATAGCTTGATACAGGGAAAAACAAAAATGACTCTTTCACCCATAACTTCTGAACGCCCTGTGGCAAAAATGGGTGGTTAAACTCAGCTCCACTATATTTTGGATTGACGTCTGATCCATTCTCAACACATTGGTTTTTGATTAACGTCTATCTCCTTTTGAGAAAAAAATTCAATATACAAGTATTTCAAGAAAGTATGGAATCTTTGAGATTAACTCGAGAGGCACATTCGCCCTTCAAGATGAATTTTGAGGAAATTCCTCAAGTGACTACAACTAGGAAATTATTGAAAAAATACTATATTAAAAAACTTGTATCTTCTCTTGAAAATAAGATATTGACGTAACTCAAAAACCATTATGTGAAAAAGGATCACACACATAACAATTTCAATCTTCTGAAGATGTTAACATAGTTGCACGAAACACATGTCCAGGCGTTTGAAAATCGGTTTGGTTAGTGGTGAAACAGTAATGTAATGACAGATTCTGATTCATTCTAAAGATCATGAGTGGATCTGGCAGCCCTCTGGAATAATGCTTTGATTGACCAGTAATTGATGATGATAAACACTGTATCTGATAAGTTTTCACCAATCAAATTATCCTTTATATACTTCTTTCACTTTATAATTATTAACTAAAGGAAGTAAGTTATTTTCTCTACGACTATCGTATTCTACATTGATTACATATAGGTTAGTAATTGATGAATGAAGATGATTCCAAGACACCGTGGATCCCAACTCATTATTCAACGGCACTCGACCAATCACAGATTCAGAATTTTCAGGATCCACAGCAACTGGAAAGGTTAGACTAATGAAAAACCAGCAAATTTACGCAACCAATTTCTCAAGAAGGCTCTGCTTCATTTTACGGGTCACGTCACGGCTTGACTTTCGCGAATGTCAGATTGACTTATAGAGTCTATTGAGTTTTAACTTTGATATCTGGAGGATAAAATGGAGGCTTGCCGTTCCATAAAAATGTACTCTATGAATATTGAATGGGAAAACAAATAGTTACATTTTTGAAGCTACCAAATCCCGAGATGTACACCGGGCATTGCTTTGCTTGTCAATGCAGGTGGAGGTATAACAGCATTGAAAAGACATGGTGGCTGGAAGAGCACATCGATGGCAGAAGGATTTCTAGAAGATTCAATGTTGAATAAAAAAAACTGCAAATTCGAATTCTTCAATGAATCGAACAATGTTCATCATCATCAAATAACAGTTCCTTCACCATCAACTAGCAATATGAATAAAAATGTCAGTGTTTATTTAAATGCAACACCAACAGTATAATTTCACGAATTGTGAGAATATCACTAAAAATTTAGTCACTAAGTACGAGAAACATAATTTACTGACCTAATAATTATTGTGTTGTTTCATCATTGAGTTCGTTGAATATTAAAAATTCCTGTCAATTGTATCATCATATCATTAAAATTCATACATCAAGTATATTATTTTCATAAATAATAATTAGATTACATTAAATTTCTGACTATCGTATAGTGTATAGTCGTAGAGAAAGTATAGTCTTCTACTCGCGTATAATAGCTATTATTATACGCTCGTTGAAGAATATACTATTCTACACAATGAATGAATGAATTTTCGTCGCTGAGTATGAAATACGTTTTTTCCACCACTATAGCTATATGCAATTGCAATTGCATTACCTCGTTGGTCCCAGCACTGGGACCAAACGCCCCATAAGTCGAAACTTGTGCGGGGTTAGGTTAGCATACAAACATCCATGGCCTAACTAGGATTCGAACCTATGTCTCTGTGGGAGTCCCCATACGAACTCAGCGCATTCACGCTCTCGACCACCGAGCCGCCATTATTTTACTCCTTCATTTCGAGGCGTAAAGTTTGTTTTTACTAGTAAGAAGGTGGTTTTAGTCATTCAATGAATCACTAGTCGATAAAGACATAGCCAACTCTGTCGTAGTTAACCCGAATTCACTGTTCTGATGCAAGATTCGCAGGAATATCACTCGAATCTAGTAGGTATTTATCAATATAACGACTTGTCATATGATGTCATTGTCGCATGGCTACTAGATTTTAATAAAGCAGTTTTGCTAGCGTTGAGAGATGAAAAAATGGCTTCTCCATCTGTCTTTGTTTTCTGTGTTCTAACGAAAAATAATGGGAATTTTATGTTTTGGTTACATTGGAAATGGGAAAAAATGGAGAAAAGATCATATTAACCTCAATATAAGAAAGGTTATAATGGTCTTCTTCATTTCTTCTTATTTCCAATGTTGTCCTCATAAAATTGTTAATTTTTAATGTTGGGGTACTGAACACAAGGACAGATGGGGAAGACATTGTTTTTCTCTCTTAGAATCGAAAAAAAGTGCTTTTATAGTGCCAATAATTGGTCCATACATCAGTGTCACTGAACTATAATAATGATTGATATATAGTGCTAGTGGCGAAAAAAATTCTATATACTCCTTGGTGTATAAATAACTGGTTACTCTATTCTTTCGTAGTGGAAAGTTTGGCCGGTACTCCCGATTCGGAGGCTTTCAGTATCGATATGCAGATTTACGATACAAGATCGACGTTCCCAATGAAGAAAGGAAGGAAAAGTGCCAACGGTAGCGGTATGTCCGAGGACGAGAACTCAGTGAACGGTTCGCCTTCTTTTTCGAGGCGCAGACTCGGTTCCTTCAACGGAAATTCTGTGGAAATTGGTATTGGCGGAAAAGAGGAAAAATCACCAGGTAAATTGCATAATTATTCAACATAACCCTTTTGATTTCTGGTTTGTTTCTCTACTTTGCTTCACCGAAATAACTTCTATTATGATACGCAGAATTTGTTGTTTTCAAGGTTGGTAACGAGATTCGACTTTTGGCCACGGTAGGAGAGACATGGCTTCTCTAGGCCAAAAGTCAGGTTAATGTGTGTGCAAGTCCAACATTTTTCAATTACCTGATCTGGATTGAAATCTAATATTTAATGTGAAGTTTAAGAAGTGTGTGTGAGAAATATCAGGCTCTTTTATCTCTACGCCGGTATAGAGGCAGAATGATGACGGATTCATCGGATAAGGGGGCCATACTTAAAGTCAAACGTGCTCCATTATTTCTACGCCGGTAACCAGGCCGGATCATCAACGGGTTTGCTGGATGAGAGGAGTACATACGATCGAATCATATGAACACTGATAACTCGGCTTCAGGCCATTGTGATAGACAATCGGTGTCTGATGTGGCGTGTCGAGTGATAATATTATTACATAACCAAGTATTTATTCTTGGAAAACAAATAATTACCGGATCTGATCTGGAGAAATTGTCACCGAAAGGAGACAGAAATCCAATGAACCCAAGGAGAAAAAGAAGAAGAAGGTTGGTAACAGAAAAATGCAGGTCAAAGAAATACGTGGAATGTTTGTTTTCCGAAACAAAAATGAATGGCACTATTATTAGATCACCATAGAACGTTGCAAAACAGTGAAATTTCTTCAAGCTAATTATTCAATTCGTATTGGCCCCAAAAACATAATATCGATAATATCCAACGATATAACCTACTATCTTGACCGCTAATGCCATAAGACAAAAAAAAAACATCCATTTACGAGATCGATTAAGTATTTCCGCTGGAGCTTTCGCATTCATGACCTGTCATATGAATCTTACTCAACTCACTCTTACTCATGTTTCCAAACCCGAACACCAAGTGACATATATCGATCCCATGAATGACAGTTTGGAACCTTCTGTGCTTTGAGAATCGTTTCCAGACGAGAGATAGGTTTCTGTCTGTGATACGGTTATACAATAAGGAAAACGAGACTATGCGATGAAATGAATGCTAAATACCTCAACTACCAAATTACTAGTATTTTGTACATTTATCATATTTAATTTGCTGTCGTTCTTGGCTCTTGGGAATACTATGTGTGCTTTGTTCAATACATCGGGTTCAAAGTCTTGTGGTATATCTTTTCATGATAGCTTATTGAAGTTTAGTGTATTTTGAGATGTCTATATTTGGGAAGATACGAGTGATTTACAGCCTTCTGGGCAAAATTTCCCGGCCTATATTGTGCCCAGTATAAGTTGCTTGATCACTGACTGGCACCTGAAGGTTTTTTTTGTCATAGGCATTTTTTTTATTGTTTGGATAGAATCGTTTTTCAAATACCTCCCAATTCCATATTTTTTCAGATATTTTCAGTCGATTCCAAGGTCCTAAAATCATCAATAATGCCGCGGTAATTTTCAAACGGCTAGAAATTTTCCGCAAATAACAATAACTCACGTCGTCACGGTTTTGGAAGTAGACGCGGGCAAAAACACAGTTGCCATATGTTAAAATACGATTGGGAACTTGCTAATTATTCTCTACCACTATAAGTCCAGTAGCCTTCAAGGATATTTTCCAGGCACTAGACACAAAGTGACAGTCAGATATAACCTAGAATGATTTCGAAGCAGATCATATGTTTTCACTCGTGTATTATCAGTGCACAACTGATACTTAGCCTGATTTTTGCAGACATAACTCCAAATGGTAGTCTTCGAAGACGCAGAAGTAGGGTTCTTTCTGAAGATGATGAAGGAAATCTGATGGACTTTTTACGAGCATCTGGCAGCGATAACAATAGAGAAAGAAAATCGTGGGGAAGTCTTGGTAAGTCCATGATTTGTTCTTGGTTCGGTTCGAAAAATCGAAACACTCCGTGTATACTGGATTATTCACGTTATTAGACACGAAAAATTGTGGCTGAAGAATTATGATTGTTCAGAAGTTATTTCTACTGGATGGATAGGGACCTGTTAGCGCAACATTTCAAAATAGCATTAAAATATTTTTTAAATGTAGCACAAGTGAATTTTTCGATTCCATCAGAAACTTCAGGATGAATAATATCAAAAACGGTTAAGTCATGGATACAATCCAGTCTCTCAGTGGTGCAGTATTTCTCAAAAATGAACATTTTTAAGAATATTCAACTTCTATAGTACTTTTTTACTGTCTGCCTGGTAGATTTTTTTTAAACGCAGTGACATTTTGGGGCAAATCATCTGATTTGTCCTACTTCTACTACACGTATATTGGAACAATTCTCATATTTTTATTTTATAATAGAAACGAAGAGAGAAAATCCTAAATAATCAAGTAACATGACTATGCCACCACCTCGATTAACCTACAGACAGTATATTTTATCAATGCACTTCAGTGAACAAACGATGGAGAACTTGTTATTTTTATAGACATTCAATCGCAGATTCATGATTAGGTTTTCCCAATTCAATTTCTTTCCACGTCCTTGTATGATGAATATCAATTTGTCATACATCCAAAACATATCCCAAACTAGTTCTTATTCGCGGGAATCAATGTTACCAGGTGGCGCTCGGTTTCCATCGTTCCATGTCAGAGCCACGTCAAAACTGGGGGAAAACAAACTCAATCCTCACTCAATCCCATTAGTGCCATTAGCTTGTGTACTGTGTACTGATAAGAGTGATAAGTTCTCCGTGCTAATCATGTGATTTTGTGTGTGGTAGAAGACTTCAACAAAGGTACATTTTTGCACATTGTCTACAAACTTCGGCGATGAAATCTTCCCCACATGAACACATGAAGTAAAATTGAAGTTGGGATCCAGAGGAACTCCTGTCGTAGAACAATGGATTTGTATTTGTTCATGCAAAACAGGACAATCTGGGTATTGTAAACATGTTGTAGCTGTTCTTTTATATGTCAATTGATTTGCTCGTCATAATTAGTTTGAATTGTTTGAACTATCTCCAATTCTTCACCCGTTCACTGTTCAATGAACTAATAAAAATGTAATAATGTAAAAAAATTAACCCAACTCAACCATCATCACTACCAACAGTGCCAACACTTTATGTCATTGACTAGTTTGACTTCAGCTACAGCAAGCTGAATGCAATGTAGTCTATGCACTTTGTAGTCTATGCACTTTATCCATAGACAACAGTTTGTTTTCCCCCAGTTTGAAGTTCGTATGCGAACGCGAACAAATCTAGTGTTTTTCTCGTCCGATTCCAGACCGTTCCTGGGCTAGGAAGGCTCGAGGCAGCGGCCCCCGCAAACGGCCCGCCCTTCTTTCGGCGGACTTCTCCTCGGACCGCGAGCGGCCCTCGTCCCCCTCCCCGCTGACGGAGAGCAAGCCCCTGGTGGGGGCGGCACCGGTGGAGGAGGAGGCCGCCCCTACAGCTCCGGCCGCCCCGGCTGCCCGGCCGCGCGAGTGGCGGCAGAAGATCGAGTCGTGGCTGCAGGCGAACGATAACGATGCGAGCGATGAGCAGAAGAGGCAGGCGAGGCGGGGGGCGGTGAACAGGCGGTCGCTTGAGGTGGATTCCGGTGAGTGCCAGTCTCAATCTAAAATACATAGTTATTCTTGTATCAAGCCGTTACCACCGATACAACAAGGCCTGCATGCTCCGTGGGTGACGTCACTTAGTGAGGCCTAACCAGCGGCTCGAAACGACAAGCGCTTATAGCGCTATAAGGCGACCGCGTATTTCGATTTTAGTTTTAGATCATCATTGAGCCGATTTTGCTGTTTTTTGATGGGCTTCCGATTAAAAAAGGATGCCAGTCGTCAACTGAGCCCTTCTTCGCACCCCATTCGATTTTATTATGGAAAAACGAAGTTTTAAAGCAAAAACCAGGATAAAACACAAATATCCACCTACAGCAACCCATTCGAATTAAATATATTGGCAAAAATTGTGGTGAAGGTAAACTACACACCTTCTTATACAGGGCCCGCAGAACATAAACTTATCGTGAGATTGATCGAAAGAAAATTGTGGATAATGTATTTGTTTTTGATTGACATGCCATTTGTTACAATTACCTATATTTATCTTGTAGAATTCCTATTACCTGAAAAAATAACCAGTGAGTGTTTTCAATTTTCTGTTGTTGGATTTTTCACCCAAGTGGATCGTTACACTTGAAACCGTAATTTTCAAGGGTAAAACTGCATTTATCATGCGATGGGTTTTTTTTGAAAATTTTTTTCGGTACTCACGTATTTTTGTCTGATAAACCGAATTTCATAATGAAAATGTGAACAAACCACTATTTATTGAGATATATCAAGAAAAAGTTCGAAATTTCGCCTTCTTTCTCCCCTTGTGTTGGAGGCATTTGAAGCTACTTGCTCTTATTTTTATATAGAAAATTCAACAGAAAATTTTTATGATGGCGAGTTTTTCATATTTAGTGAACAAGCATTCCAGATGACGACCATTTAATCAATAGTCAATCAAAATACGAGATGTCAAATGTCAATAGATTGGTTTCGAATGACATTACACACGCCATTATTTTGAATGATATTCTTCCTTCTTTTCACTAAATATGGATTAATCTCAAGAAAATCATATTTATAGTTGAATTATATGTAAATTGTCCAATATGATGAAAAAAGAAGGGCAATTTGTTCTAAATGCCATCCAGAAGACAGGTGAAAAAGAAGGTGAAATTTGGAACTTTTTAGTCAAATATCTTCATGATAAATATCATGATAAATGCAGTTTTACCTTTTTAAGTAGAGTGTTTGTAGTTCATGTTAATATGATAGTTGCAATTTGATCATTGGAATGAATTCTGCATTCATTGTCACGAGGCAAATGACCGTTTTCAGAAAGAAATTTGAGAATGAGAATTAAAAATGCCCGTTTATTATGAACATTCAAGGAAATTTCCTCGAATTCAGAGATGATTTTGTTGACTATAATATACGAATACAAAACTAACTGCACAATCAAAGCTTTTCTATTTTTCCTCTACTTATACTTTTCATGAGAGAGTAATTAATTGTCTTCTATTATTAATTCATCATTATAAATTATGCTCTGTTTTGCTACTGAACTTAGATGGAGTAAAATCCTCGCGATGAATTGCATATAAGTACCCACATTTTCGATAGCTCCTCGTCCAACGGGAAACTAAAAGCATGAACTTTTGAACCTCCCACATAATTCCCGCGACAAAAGGGAACACAGCACTTGAAAGGCATTGTTATTTCGCCGATCACAACACAAAATATTTCACAAAACAGTAATTTTTCCGCCAATTATTTTGATGAATAAACAACAAAAGAATTCGGGACCGTTCCAAAAACATACGTGAATCACCGATGAATTAACACGAACTGACGCGTTAGTCGACAAGCCATAGATTAACGACTCGTTAATCTATGGACAAGCGATAAAATAAAACACTGGCCTCTCTTGGCGACGTCACGAGCTGTTTGCGTCAGAGTCTGCTGGCCTTGTTGTATCGGTGGTAACGATCAAGCGCGTAATGTAGGCTTTCATGGACCGTAAAGTCTAAGATATAACGCCTAATAAGTTACCTACGCTTGAAATTCAGAAAATTTCATGCACGACCGGTTTATTTGATTTTTGATTGTGAACAGTGGCGGATCACTGCATAGAGGCAGTAAGCGCACGCTTAGGGCCCCGAAGAACAGGGGGGGCATAAAAGGACATCAGTTCAACCATCGTATATAAAATTAAAATTATTTGTGATGTACGTATCAAGTAATGGAAAAACATTGTCGTTGATTTTTGTATTTTTTGCGTAACCCGGATATAGAATAATGAAATCACGAGGGCTATCACCTGTCAAGCGTTGTCGGTCGAATTTCGAAACACCTTGTATATTTGATTCTTACGCTTTTTTTATTTGTTTTGTTTCATTGTTGTTTATTTTTACTATTCGTTCCTGTTTTTTATATACTCAATTTTGTAAATAGTTATAACTCAATTTTTTTAGTAGTTTCTGATATTCGTGAGTATTTTTAAAGGAATATGATTATTTTTTTAAGAGAATGTTTGTTCTGTTTTGTTTCTATTTTGTTGGAAATAGGTTATTTATCTGTTAATATACAAAAAGTACATAATGTTTTGACGTCATAGATTTATTATTTCATCATCCCCTCTTGGAATTGGTATAGCAGCATAAAATATATCTGAATATTTGACAAGGTATTTACTGATGAAATAAAAATTAAACTGGCAACCCTGGTCCGCGTGGAGAGTGAGTTGACAACAACTGTCATTTGCTGTCAAATTGATTATTCACGAAATCCGATAGATTTCACGTGTGAATAGGACCGTGATGTGGATATAAGTGTTTGAGATCGACGAAAAAATGTTATATTAACTATTATATTCCACTGGTCGTAATTGGAATTGTTTGATTTTTTTTATTATAATCACGCAAAATGACGCGTTTCCTAACAGGTTACGTAAATTCCAAGAATGACAAAGTTGTTATTACTTTCCGATATAAGCGGCAAAACTGTATTGATGAAAATATTTTAGATGAATAGAGCATTTTATTTGATTATCCACGCCCAAGAATTTTCGAAAAGATCTCTCGTTCGGTTCTCCAGATACTTCTAATGTTCCATCTACTGTGAAACACCTTGTATTGTAGAAGAAAGTTAACGGATGAAATGTTGAATTTGAGCTGAGTTGAAAGAATGATTCATTTTGTTTCCTGTTGATATAGAAAGTGAAAGAAGCAGCACATTGGATACCCTGCCTGAGGGAAAGCAAGTTTACAGTGGCAGTCAGTCGAATTATAGGAAAGCCTATCCTGCCTGGAAACCTTCGAGCACCATCGATAGCACCGATGTTGTTAGTGCCATGGAAGCTGTGGAAGGTAATAATTTCTCAAGGGGGCGTTCGAGGGGGTATAATCACGGCCAGAAAACTGCACAACAAACCTCTCATGGGGAAAAACCTCCGATGCTTCCTCGAACTTTTTCAAATAACTTCCTCGAACTTCCTGAACTTCCTCGAACTTCCTCGAAATTCCTGAACTTCCTCGAATTCCTCAAACTTTTTCAAACTCCCTCAGACTTCACCGAACTTGAACTGTCTCAGAATTTTGGATTTGTTTATTATATTTTATCATTTTATTTTAATTTTAATTTTTATTATATTTTTTCATTTTTTATATTCAGGAATACAAACAGGGCGAGCCTAAAAGCAGTATTCACAGGAAGATATAATATAATAATATGATAATGATATTACTCATCTGAGAAATTGGGTGGGGTTTCTATTTCAAAATTAAGATATACATATATACAAAATTCAAAATGAATACAATAAATTTGCAAGGTGCTGACAAAATTCAATGGTTCAAGAAAAATCTGTTTTTCTAGTTGTATTATCTGTTAATTGATGAAGTGATTATTGAGAGTAAAAACGTCAAAAAGAGTTTTTCATCTATTTATACAGGGTGTTCCGTTGGGAAACGGAAATACTTCAACGGTGGATAGAGGTGACCAAGGTAGTTCTGAATACACCAAATGGGTCTTACATATTTCATTATCGAGATATAGGGTGTTTTATCAATTCTGGCCATTTCTTTGAAGGCTCATAGTAGAAATACCTGGTATATTTTTTTGATATCTGGTAGACGTGTTTTCCCACTGCTACCCTAGCGACTTGTGTATCTGTCAGAGAAAATTTTCAGGCCCGGATTAACAAAAATTCAACATATTATTGGGTCCTCGAACAAACACCCTGTATGTTCGAATTTACAAAATCTGCTTACATATCTGAAGGGAGCACAAAATGTTGAATGGATTTGTGTACTTTTCATGTTTCCGCATGCTATTTTACTAGGTACTGAATTTCTGAAGCTGCAATGAAGAATTTGTGAATTTCAATAGCAAAAAGCGGAATATTTTCAGTTCTTCATATCGAATTGTGAGAATTTTGCAATTTTACAACTCGTTTTATTCCATTCAATAGTCGTTATCTGTATTTTTATGCCAGTGTATATTCACAGGTCCTTATTTTATTTATGTACCTACCTATTTATTTATTGGAGATAAATTTCCATGCACCCTGTGGATTCCATTATTTCAATATTTCTTTTGTTTTGTTGTAATAATTTCACTTACCTATTCGTGCAAACAATTGCAACAAATCCAACTCGAAATCCAACCATTAGTTGAAAATTATCGAATTCCTAAATCAAACTGATTCATACAAAATTTGCTGCAGAACATTTTTATTCGGTATTTTTCCTAATACCTATACCAAGTAAATTAGATCTATCAGTTTTTAATAGGTAAGTGAAATTATAACATCAAAACAATAGAAATATTGAAATATGTGAATCCACATACAGGGTGCATGGAAATATGTCTCAAACAAATAAATAGGTACATGAATAAAGTAAGAACCTGTGAATATACACTGGTCCGTTCCACAGGCATATGAAAATGCAGACAACGACTACTAAATGGAATAAAATGAGTTGTAAAATTGCAAAAGTTTCATAATTGGATATGAAAAACTGAAAATAATCCGTTTTTAGCTTTATTGGAATTCACAAATCCTTCATTGCAGCTTCAGAAATTCATTAGTAAAATAGCATGCGGAAACATAAAAAGTACACAAATCCATTCAACATTTTTTTGCTCTCTTCAGATATGTAAGCAGATTTTGTGAATTCAAACATACAGGGTGGTGATCGAGGACCCAATAATATGATGAATTTTTGTTAATCCGGGCCTGGAATTTTGTTCTGACAGATACACAAGTCGCTAGGGTAGCAGTGGGAAAAAACGTCTATCAGATATCAAAAAAATATACCAGGTAGTTCGTATACTATGAGCCTTCAAAGAAATGACCAGAATTGATAAAACACCCTATATCTCGATAATGAAACATGTAAGACCCAACATATATGGTATATTCAGAACCACCTTGGTCACCTCTATCCACCGTTGAAGTATATCTGTTTCCCACCGGAACACCCTGTATACTTAAACCAACTGCGCAAATAACAGGTCTTCAACAATGACTGAAAACCACGTGACAGAACATTGTGCAACCAAAATTACAAAAATACATCTCATTCAAAGAGACGCCGCATTGAAAATGGTCACGTGGTATTCAATCATTGTTGAATACCCGGTATAAAGGATCGATGATTGTATACCTCGGAAACCATAACCCGATTTTTCTCCTTGTGTAAGAACTGCTAACGTTTGTGAACTAAATATTTTTCAGAAGATGTGACAAAAACAGATTGTATTGTGATTTCAAGTGAATTCTGCATAATCTTGATGAGAACATTATTTTCTTGATAATAATAAATCATCAACAAACAATCTCGCACTTTCCCGATATTCCTAAAACTTCCTCGAACTTCTCCGGAATTCCTATAACTTCCTTAAACTCCCTCGAACTTCCTCAAACTACCTCAAACTTTTTAAAACTACCTAGAACTTCTTCGATCCTGTACAACAAACTTCCCACGTGATTACCATCTCGGGGGCATTCGAACTAAATAGCTGGCATATGATCCAACATCCAGTGAAAAAAAAAATACAAGAAGTCAGGTTATTCCTGGAAATTTGCAAGAATAATATCAAGAAAATTTGCATCTCTCTTTTCTCCCACAGAAGTGCAACCACAAATAAAAGACAAATCGGCGTGGCGCAAATCGACGCTGAACGTGTCGAACAGCACGGAGGCCACCAGAGAGGACGCCTCGTACCTCGGCCGCCCCACTGCCGCCCCCACTACCCCTCAAAAAGAGAAGACCCTCCACTCGATAGACGAGGACGGGGCGGTCGAGCGCAAGAGCCTGATCTCGTCGTTGGGCGGCCGGGCGGCCACCGACCGGCTCACGCTGTATATCAGGAGGGCGGACGACGCGGGCGGGGGAGAGAGGAGGGCGGGTGGCGGTGGAGGAGGGGCGGCGAGGCGGGGCAGAGAGGCGCAGCAGCGGGAGGGGGTGGAGACGAACGGGTGCAATAACAAGGTAGGGCAGAGCTTTTTTATGTATTCTAGCTAGGTGACTATAGATGATGGATGCATGGTGTACCCATCGATCTTGATATTTTTGCATAATACTTCGTTCGATATAGACATGGCATTCAAATTGTCTTCAAAGATTAGCACAAACATTTTTCAATCTTCAAATATCTCTAAAATGTGTTTAGCTATAAGTAATGTTATGAAGGGTATACGCTACAGAGTGGTACTACAAGTAAACCACTCTGCTGACAGATGGCACTACCTGATACATATACTTGAGTGGATATTTCCACCACCTATTCAACTGCTAGATCTCATAACTGAGAGATCTAGGATGAACAGAGGTGCCCCAATTGTCAGCAGGAGCGAGACAGTACTGTTTCGACCCACCAGGTGAGACGTGTGACTATAGATGGCAGCGCCACACAGTGTGTGTCGCGATTTCTGGATCCTACCTTAGAGCTTTGCCACTAGATGGCCTCAACATGACTATAACTTCATGTTATACCCTGCGTCTTCGAAATGGGTGATATACCCGAAGCGTAGAGTTGTCCCAGTTGTCAGCAGACCGAGAGCTGCTGATGAGACCTGGTGGGCCGAAACAGTACTGTCTCGCTCCTGTCGACAATTGGAGCAACTCTTTTCATCCTAGATCTCTTAGTTATTAGATCTAGCAGTTTTTTTCGATTCATTTGAAGGGCGAAATCGACCAGGACAACATAGAAACGCCTCCGGCCGTCAGGAAGGTGTTCATACCGACGCCCGTCGACAAGCGGGAGCCGCTGATGCCGACTCCGTGCAGCAGGCGGGCAGGCAGGGCGAACTCCAACAGGGAAACTCCCACGACCTTGAGTCCCGTGGACCCCGATGAGAACTTCGTACTCGGTGACGGGCAATTCGATAGGTGAGTGCATAAAAATGGATAGATTGGGGCGATGAAAGAAGGCGCACAAAACAAATAAAGACCACAGGGGGAAAAGGGGGAATGTCACAAAGAGTGAGTTTCGAGAAAAACGCATTCCAAAGTTTAAAGCCTCCTTACTTTTTGGAAGTTAGAGCAAACTGAAATCGATAGGTAAGTGCATAAAAATGGATAGATTGGTAAGGAATTCTCAAATCCATGAACCCAATTCAAAATTAAAGTCAAGAAACATATTCTCTTGCAAAGAGAAAATCAAACCTGAGTGAATGATTTCTCATTCACTAATTTATTTCATTATGTCATAATGTACTCTTCATGAGCTTCTTGTTTTATTATTATTATTTTTTAATCTGTTGTTTATTTCCATAACTTAGAATTAATAACGCATGACTAATCTCATACCAGATATGAATATGTCTGAGTATTCCTGGTATTTGATTATAAATCTTAATGAAATATATTTATATGAGATGCAATGTAATGTTCATAGCAAAGAATAAAATAAATATTATTATCCTTTGTTATGAACTGGGAAAGCAGCTTAACAGTTGATTAAAGAAGGTAACCTTTTTTTCTCGTTTTTTTCCATTCCATAAACAATGGATTTGGCTCAGACTGAGGGGTGGCACAGGTAGGTTTTTTGAAAACTAACATTCAATTCGTATTGGATGGCAAAATTCTTATCTCGTTATCAAATCACGAAATCGAGTGCAAAATTTCCGCACAGGAAAGTGCAATTTCTCAATCATTTCGCTCAGAATAGTGAATGGCACAGGTGACGTTCGATAAACTACAATGTTTTTATTTCATACTGCATCATAGAATACCTTTACGTACCTGATTTCAATCCAGAAAATAGACTTTTACAGGATAGGCGCACGTAATATTTCATTACGTGCTACTATCCCGTAATGAAATTTTACCGGATTGTAAATATTGAAAACTCAGTTATGCGTCAAAAGCATGAATACATTTATAAAAAAATTCAACAGCAAAACAATACACAGAAATTACTTATTGCTAATATTAATATTAACCGTTAAATTTTCGTTCCCATGAATATGGATACCAGGAGCTCCATTGGATGAATTATTTATTAGGGAGTTGCTACTTGCTGATACATTCCCATTTTTTTGTTGTAGCACTTCAACAAAGTTTTCTCCATGTTGAATCATTTAAAACAAAAATTATGTTTCTAAAGAAACTACCTGCCAGCTATCTTGGGAGTGAATGCAAAATTCTGAAATTACTGGACGCAGATAAATAGATTAATATTTTATTTTTCACTGTTCATTTTTGTTTTTTAGCAGTATGAAATAAAATGTTATACGTCACACGTCCGGTAAACTTTTACAGTACTCGTTTCGAAATTCCGGACTCGGCTTGCGCCTCGTCCGTAAACATTTCACTCGTACTGTAAAAGTGTACGCGTACAATCAGCACCAGACATCTTAAAGACGTACATTTTACGACTTACTTACGTCTTTACGTCCAGGGACGTATAAAGTACGTCTTTAAGATGTAAATCCATGTACATCTTGAAGACGTACACGAATTTACGTCTTTAAGACGTACATTTTAGGTCGTATCCACGTCGTTCCTCCTGTCGTATAAAAGACGTCTTAAAGACGTACATTCCAGTACGTCAATTCGACTTATAGAACAATAATGTAAGTTATTTTCTAAAGAAAAACAAAATGTAATCTCTTCACGTTTTTTATTTTCAATTGTTCATTTTTGTCTTATTTTCAACAAAAGTGATGTTTTTGAATTTTTTCGTCCGACATTTTGGAGCCTTCGTGTTAGATTCTCGAATTTTTACAAAAAAAATCATATTCTCCGACCCCAAAAGTCCCATAGTAATCAATTTTGAATAAAATCGGACTATAATCACAAAACTCGTCCGCCATTTTGAAGCCGACATCTTGGATTTTTCATTTTCGACAAAAGGAATTATAATCTCTGATCCCGAAATCCTTCAGATGCCAATTCTGAATCAGATATCAGACCATAATCAGAAAACCATATGCCACATCGTCCGCCATATTGGATCCGCCATTCTGTTTTTTTCATTCAATAATAATATCACAACGAATTGTCACCGGAATAATATTTACTTGCCAAATTTCAAATCAATCGGACGATTTAAAGTGAGTCATATTTAACTTGTACGTTTTGATTACAAACAGACACAAGGACATGTTAAACTAAGTAAAAGCTTGTTATCTGATATATAGAACAAACAGAGTAACAGAAGAAGTGAATATGGTAGTACTTGGTAGTACTTGAATGGGTGACCGCTTGTGCGCCTATATACCGTTTGATGAAGTCGTTTATTTCTCTTTTTTTTTTGCTTGTCTGCACTTGTTGCTAACTTCAGTGCACAGGTTTAAATCAACTGAAACTATGTGATTTTTCCGTAATTTGAAAGATCAATTTGAGGTCATGGACCAAAAACACCTAAAAAAGACGTCTTAAAGACGTACATATTAGTGGAAAATGTTCGTTTTAAAGACGTCTTAAAGACGTCTCTTGGGCGTAATATGTACGTCTTTAAGACGTACTTATGTCCCGACATGTACGTCTTAAAGACGCCTTTGAGACGTACTTTGGCTGATTGGACTTACCGGACTAGTAACGTGAATATCTATTACATGCCTCAGGAATATACAGGGTGTCCCGAAATTAGCCTGCCAAACTTCACCAGCGGCTTTTACGACCAAAAATAGAAAGAAAACTCTCAATGAAGATGAGTCGAGAAATGCCTCCTAACGGAGGGGGCTCCTGAACATGATATTTCTTGAGTATTTTCGAAAATGCATGTAATAAAAAGATGCAATTTGGTACAAGATCATTTCAAAATTTCAGGAGTGTATACTACAGGGTGGGACTACATTGAAAATTTGCTAAAAATTTTTGCTATGTATATTTTTCGACCATTCAATCTAGGATTATGAAATTTTGCACCTCTTTACAGAAAAAAGGTACTCTTGTTCCTTGACGATCAGATGCATTATCATCGGGTAAAGGCAAATAGAAAATATTGTTAAATCTCAGATATAATTCATAACATTGCAATGAGGCGTAGTGGAAATGGAAAAAAATGCACAATTTAAAGTAGTTTTTTCATCATCATTTTTCTATTTTTCGCGCTTTTATGAGATTGTTGGTGGAAAAAAAGGAATTTATTTTTTTTATAGCCACTATGATTTGAAAATTGGCAACGGTATGCATATAAGATGTGAGTGCATCAATATTTCAAAATCGATTTCACTCGAAAATCATACATCTGATCGTAGAGGAACAAGAGCACTTTTTTTGTAAAACGGTGTGGATTTTCATAATCCGAGATTAAATTGTCAAAAAATATGCATACGAAAAAGTTTGAGCACAATATTTAATGTAGTCCCACCCTGTATTATACACTCCTGAATAAAACTTTGAAATGATTTTATGTTCACCGCATTGGGTATGGAAAATTTAGTTCTTGTACCGAAGAAATATCATCTTCAGGAACCCCCTCTCAGGGGGCCCTAGCTCCCTCAGGAGACATTTCTCGACTCATGTTCATTGAAACTGTTCTTCCAATTTTTGGTCGAAGAAGCCGCTGGTGAAGTTTGGCAGGCTAATTTCGGGACACCCTGTATATCATTTCGTTATCTGATGACGGTCGAAGTCGAAAGGACCCCGCACGAAAACACGGGAAATTGGCTCTCGGTCAAATTGGCTGAAATTTTACTATGTTGTTGTGGGATGGCTCATTAGAAAAATATGTGAGTTTGAAAGGTTTTGTATGTTTAGTTTCTAAGATATAAGCCGGCAAAGTTCGTAAACACTTCGTATCGGGGTAGGATTGACAAAGAAAAAAACTGTTTTTTTAGTATAAATAGGAAAAAATAAGCTAGAAAATGTATTGATCGGAACTCAAATACATGTCTAGTTATGATCACATAAATTATAGTAAATCACGGTCAGCACGGTCAAAAAATTTATTTTCCGAAAAAAAAAATTCGAGCACTATTCCAAAACCAACAAGATATATTTTGGTGGGACATTATAGTTTCAGTCTATTGTAGGCTTCGAACTTATTGTTCCCGTCATAACAATGTCGTTAACGATCACGAACTGTTGTTCCAGATACTCCGCTGCCAGACGCACCAGACGCTACAAACGCAACCAGGACACCGTCAATGCGGACATCGCCTCGCCCACCGACTCCTCCAAGTCCTCCGATAGCCCCGCCTCCAAATCTCCCCCAGTCCTAAAGTCTCCCCCCGCCCTCATATCTTCACCGGCGGACATCGAGTCCGCCCGAGAGACGGCGGCAGTGGCCGAGTCGGAGGCAGAGAAAGAGATGCGGTTGAGGGCGTGGCAGGAGAAGTTGAGGGGGCAGGGCGAGCAGCAGCAGGAGGGTGGGGGTGGGGCGGGTAAGGCGCGGAGGTACAGGAACCAGACGGGGATCAGGCCGGCGGATGTGGTGAGGGCGATGCGGCTGGGCAAGGAGAACGGGGAGGTGTCTAAGAGTTATATTTCGCCTGAAACGACAAAGGTGAGTTTAGTTCTTTTTTGGAATGATTTCACGAACAATGGGGTTGCACATACTAGTCGAATTCTAGCCACGAATCTATTTCATATCTATTGATTGTTCCATGTAATATACAGGGTGTCCCAGAACAACGTACCATAAATTCTACAGGGTGAACTAGAATTCAAAATATGTGACAGGAAAATACAAATAGTACATCTGTCAGTTCTCTCTGTTTATTTTTGTACATAATGCTAAAACAAATGAATTATTATGGCGGTTTAATATAAATCCGTTTGATGAAACGAAGGAGAACCCGCACAAAAATAAAAATCAGACCATGCTTTCTGAGTGGAGCAATAATTATTGTTGCATGCAAATCCTCGGAATACCTATTCCAGGAATAATCCTTAGAATGAGATTTAACTGTGGAAATGATCTGGTTATTTTTGGCGAGTGATGATAACACACATATTACAAACAATACATTAAGCTTCCAGAACTATTTTAATCATTATCGCAGAATCTATAGATCTACACTCAAGTTAGCAAAGGAAACATTTTACAGTTATAGAATCAATGGAGCTACTAATAAGATGAAGGAGACCTGGACGATTATAAACGATATTAGAGGAAAAACAAAAAAGAAAAATGACATTCCATTGAGCCCTAATACAATAAATGAATATTATTGTTCCATTGCGAATAGTCTTGGTGAAGGAATTGTTGTCCCATATGATCCATTAGTCAATCTCGAACATTTGAGAGTTGAAAGAAATCTAATTCTATATGATACCAACATTCATGAGTTGATTGAAATTTTGAAGGAAATAAAAAACAAGAATTCAACTGGCTATGACGAAATTTCCCTGAAAATTGTTGAAAATCTTCCATTGAATGCCCTCTCTGTGTTGGTTGCGCATATCAATGTTTCATTCCAGTCCGGCACTTTCCCAGATTTTCTGAAAACTTCTGTTGTCATCCCTTTGCATAAGGGCGGAGACATAGATAATCCATCCAATCTTCGGCCGATCTCTTTAATTCCAACTATTGCCAAAATCATTGAAAAACTGGTAAAAAAACGACTCGTTGAATTTTTGAAATCCCACAATGTTATCAGTGACAATCAGTTTGGTTTTCAAAAAAACAAAAACACGCACGATGCAATATTCTCATTTCTGTATAAAGTTTATTCGGAAATAAATGCAGGTGAGATTTCCGCGGCGGTGTTCTGCGACATATCAAAAGCATTCGACTGTGTTGATCATGGAATACTGCTGAGAAAGCTTCATCAGTATGGATGCAGAGGAATGACATACAGATGGTTCGAATCATATTTATCAGGAAGAAATCAAGTGGTCAAAACGACAGAACTCTCCAAGAAGAGAAATATTGATCATGGTGTTCCACAGGGATCTGTGTTAGGACCTGTACTTTTCTTATTGTATGTCAATAACGACCTCACGAAAATTGATATAACTGGAAAGTTCACTCTATTCGCAGATGATACTACTATATTATGGAATAGTAGGAATCCTCGAGATCTGCATCAAATGATATCATCTGATTTGAAAAAGGTGAAAGATTGGTGTGACGCCAATATTCTGTCGTTCAATATATCTAAAACTAGTATAATATCATTCAGATCCTCCCTTGATGAAATCACATTTGGTGATAATTTTATTGAAAGTAGAAATGATACTAAGTTTCTGGGATTGTTGATCGACAAAAATCTGAAATTTGGTAACCACGTCAAGATACTCACTGGTAAGATCTCTTCTGGATGTTATGCAGTGAGAGTGATTTCTAGGGAATTAGGATTCCATACTGCCAAGATGGTATATTATTCACTAATAGATTCCCAATTACGATATGGAATACCTTTCTGGGGAGTGTGCAGTCCAACGTCTTTAGGAACTCTGTTAATTCTACAGAAACGAGCGATAAGGTATTTGTGTAATGTCAAACCCCGAGATTCTTGCAGAATTTTATTTTCCAATAATAAAATATTGACAGTGATTGCGCTATTCATTCTGGAATCTGTTTGCCTGATAAATAAACACAAGTTGAAATTCACTACAACTCCCATCCATCATAACACGCGTAACAGAAATTTCAGTTTGAAACTTCCTCTACCCACAAGAGAGTTCATTAAAGATTCCATATACTATAATGGTGGAAAAATGTACAACCACTTGCCAGTTGATATTAGATCAGCAAGTCTGAATGACTGTCAATTCAGGAAGAAAGTCAAAAAGTTCCTCTCTGATAGACCCTATTACAGTTTGCAGGAATATTATAGTGATACGTTTGAGTTGTGATATTTTAGTATTTTAATGTGGTATTTATTTTGACTATATTTTGTCATTTATTTTTATGTCGTTATATTTTAACCTGTTTTTACAATATTATCTGACCTAGCTTTGTCAACAAGATTCTTCTTCAGACAATAAAGCATATTATTATTATTATTATTATTATTATTGAACATTTGCTTCCTCATATTCCTAATCCCTACTCGACCTGCTTATTTTTTTCTTTTATCGAAGGAATGTCCCTGGGATGTTCTTGGGACGTCCTAGGGATATCCTTTATTCGTACTTGGTACATCCCAGGGACGTAACAGAAGGACATCCCTCGGATGCCTCTTTTGACGGCCAGCGGATGTCCCTGGGACATCCCTAGTATGTACGTTGTCCCGACAAAGGACATCCCTGGGATGTCCCAGTAAAAAATCAGGGACGTCCCTGGGAAGTCCCTAGGATGTACTGGTGTTGTTAGGGTAATATGATGTTTCAAAATGAAATCAGCTGTAGATTTCGGGGGGTAATCTGAATATATCAAGTTTTGCTCCAATTTACTCCGCAGCTCCAAGTATCTGCCCATTCTACGGTATTCCTGTTCTTGAATGATTATTTTATGCAATAATAAAATTGTGGAGGCTACGTTTGGCCAGGGAGTTTTTTACTCTGGTCCACTGATAGCATGGCGAAAGTTTTTTTGTGAATGAATACGCACGCATCCATAACGTATAATTTTCCAGGTGGTATCGAACAAGATAGACATCCCCTCCTCCAGAAAAACCAAAGAACACGACAACGACGAGGGCTTCGAAGAGACCCAAAGCCTGATGTCCGAGTCGCCCAGCCAGGGCGCCTCTTCGGGAGGCAACTACGAGACCGACATCATCGACAGCCCCAAGATAGTGGTCGCCAACCAGGCCAACCCTAAACCACTCAAACCCACAGAAACTAGGACGGCCAAAATCACACCGGCACAAAAACGAACGAGGACGCCCTCGCAAGAAGTAGCTACGAACAGGTAGATAGATGTAGATAGATACACTCACATGCAAAAAAACGCAACAAGTAAATATTTGGTAAAATTTGAAGTCTCATAGTTTTTTTATTTTTACTTCAATTTAAAAAAAAATCAGCAAACTTTAGATAAAATCATCAATTTCAACTGGCACATTCAGTATTTTGTTAAATGCTGGCTCATTAGTCATTATACAGGGTTAACTAGAAGTATGTTGATATACCCTAATTTTTAAAACATCCTGTGGAATAATTTCGTGGTCAAATTCTTTCAAAATACCAATTTTTGTTAGGAACCGATCCTTTTCAACATTTTGTTTTTTGGTTCAAGTCTTTAGTTGCTTTAGTTGATTTTTAAGAGGGAAATGAACTCCAAACAACAGAGTTTACCTAATTTTAAGAAATGTTATTTTTTGACGACATGGATTTGCTCATTGTGCCATAATGTCAGTATGACAGCTCAGTCATGACTGTTACAATGAAATGGCAGCAATATATTGTTTAGTTATAATAATAAACAATTAATACAAAATTTATTTATGCAAACTCATTCAATTCAAATTAAAAATCAAACTTCAAAACAAACCAGTTCAACTGTAACTTAACCTGATGAGGAAACGTACTTTTTACAACAAAATCAGCTCAATATTTTGTATTACCACCTCTGGCTCTCACAACTGCCTGCATACGTTGGTTCATAGTGTTCATACTGTCAATTAGGTTTCGAATAGCATCTTGTGGAATATTTTGCCATCCTCCTGAATGGCTAATCGAAGTTCATTTATGGTAGCCAGAGCTACTTCACGATCTCTGACTCGCCTACCAAGCATGTCCCACACATGCTCTATGGGGTTGAGATCAGGCGAACATGCTGGCCAGTTCAGTTTGTTAATACCTACTTACGTGAGGTATTGTGTGACAGAAATTGCTGTATGTGGCCGCGCATTATCCTGCATCAGGATAAAGTCATGGCCGATAAATCCACTAAAAGCTACAACGTAATTGCTTAATATCTCTTCAATATATCGGTGAGCCGTTATATAAAGATCCATCGATGACCACCAACTCAGTGCAGGCCTCCCTGGATATTCCTGCCCAAACCATTACTGAACCTCCTCCATAACTCAGATGGGGACTGAACGTGCATTCTGCAAATCTTTCTCCGTTCCTTCTCCATACTCTTTTCCGTCCATCTGGAGAATGTAAGCAGAATCTGGATTCGTCAGTGAAAAGAACATTGTTCCATTGCCCCAAGTTCCAATGTAAATGTTCAGTAGCAAATTCCAGTCTAGCTACTAGCTACTAGCAAAGTAATTTGGGTCCCGTTGCTGGTCTGCAAGCTTTCAAACCAAACTCCTTCAATCTTCGGCGAACTGTCCACACACTAACATTTGTACCTCGAACCTCTTGAAGTTGATTTCTAGACTGCACTGATGTTAAATGACGATCCCGCAGAGTATTTACATGAAGTTATCTGTCATCAATAGCAGTCGTTTTTCGTTTTCTGCCACTACCTGCCCTACGCTTATTTCTGCCAGTTTGTCTAAAACGTTCGATTACTCTTTTGATGGTTGAGCGATGAAAATGAAGTATCATTGCAACATATTCATAATTACGTCCATCTTCAACAAGAGCGACAGCTTTTGCGCAATTTTCCGCACTTAAAACCATGGCTCGAGTTCCTTAAGGTCTCTCACTGTCAAACTGACATTAGGTCAACAACGAGGAAAGCCACCTCTTCAAAAAATTACATTTTTCAAAGTAAACGTTGATGATAAGTTCATTTCCTTCTTAAAAATCAACTAGTGCACCTAAAGACTTGAACCAAAAAACAAAATGTTGAAAAGGATCGGTTCTTAACAAAAATTGGTATTTTGAAAGAATTTGACCACGAAATTATTCCACAGGATGTTTTAATTAGGGTATATCAACATACTTCTAGTTAACCCTGTATAATGACTAATGAGCCAGCAATTAACAAAATACTGAATGTGCCAGTTGAAATTGATGATTTTATCTACAGTTTGCTGAAATTTTTTTTTAAATTGAAGTAAAAATAAAAAAACTATGAGACTTCAAATTTTACCAAATATTTACTTGTTGCGTTTTTTTTTGCATGTGAGTGTATATTAAGAAAGAAAAGTGGCAGGAATTTTTTGTCTGAGAGATACGTCAAGAAGAACTTGTGTGAAATTATCATAAGGTTAATACATTGATACAAGATAAACTGCTTCACATTTGAAGTGAGACAAGCAAAAACTTCCGAACCGTCATAACTTTGGAGTGGATCAACCAATTTTCAATTCCTTTCAACATTCTGATAGCTCATTCCATTGGGTACAACGTCAGTACTTTTTTGTTATTCCACCTTTTCGACATGAAGACCTACTGGGTGATATCTGAAAATGTGATAATTTTAGAAAAGTTTGGGATCACCCCGTTTCACCGGGAATTTTTTTTATGGTTTATTGAGGGTGATAAAATGACGAACAATGAGTTTTCTCGAAATGGTTTTGAATTCAAGAGCATTCATACTGGATGTTTGAATGTATGGAATTTTACACAACATATTGCATTCTGATATGTTCAACCACCATAAACTCAACTTCAACAGAATTTTACATTGGCGTATCTTTAACGCCATTACTACACAATGTGTTTTAGATTTTCGAATATAGGGGATGTAAAAATAAATTGAAATATCACGAAAAAAATTCCGTTAATAATCATTATCAACACAATATTTATAATGAAAAAATGATAAGTATATAAAATTGACAAGGGGCGGTATCATGATGAATCGTTGCCCCACGCTGGTTATCTTGAGAGATAATATGAATAATGCTCTTCCGTATCAATAAGAAATTTATTGGCGACAATTTGGCGACAATTTCATACTGGTTGATGATAATGATAATGAACTACCACATTGTGCGAGAATTGTCACTGGAGTTTGCCTAACAAAAAACATTTTTTTTTGTCACACGTCTTATTGAGCATATGGAAATTTCGAACAGGAATATTTTATTCGTAATCGTTCGAAATAACTCTCAAACCCAGTATTGTTGAATTCGTCGATACTCCCTAACCACATATGACATAGAATACAGGATGTCGCATTTGAAAATTGAAAGATGGGGTCGTTTCTGATCAAACCGGGAAGTGATGTGAGAGAGCATGGAATTTGCCAAATTCGAATCTCATACCTCTGGAAATCTGGAAACCATGGTTTGTCTGAAAAATTCGATGATACCCAGTATGTTTGAAAATGTACAGGGTGGGAAAAATTTGACGTTTTCATAAGCTATCTCAGTAACTGAAGGAGTTTGTTTTGTTTTTTAGAATGTGCTTTTTTTTATTCTGAACAGATTCTGAATCAATAAAGTTTCCTACGATGTTTTATCTGATGTTATAAATCAACTGGAAATGAGGAAATATGATCAAAAATGTCGCTGAATCACAGAAAAAAGTAGTTAGATTTTCAAAAATATCGGGCCTTCTGCTCGGTTCGCTCCATATGGCGACTACTACCGGCTTTTTTCTTAGATTTTTGCGACATATCATATTCAGCAGCTGGCAACACTGTTTATTCAACATTCATTTCGATAGCTATACGACAATGTATGTATGCAATACTTTTTATTTCAATCCCATTTTACCTCGATGCTATAAACTCTCTGAGAAATGTGAACTCTGAAGGCGTTGACTGCATCTCTACAAAGGTGATCAAAAGTCTTGGTCCTCTTATCTCCTGTATTTTAGCAAATATAATTAACTTTTCAGTAGAAAATGGATCGTTTCCGTCTGACCTCAAGATAGGAATCGTTACCCCAATTTTCAAAAAAGGCAATCAATTGAATCTTGACAATTTCCGCCGAATTACGGTGCAAAGTGTATTATGTAAAATAATAGAGAAGTGGATCTATAAGCAAATGCTGTCATTCCTTTCAAAATACGATGTCATTACGGGACATCAAAATGGTTTTCTACCGGGAAGATCAACGGAGAGTGCATCTATTGCACTTTTCAATTACATCCATACTTCGTTGGATAGGAAAAGGTACGTAGGTTCACTGTTCTTTGATCTCTCGAAGGGATTCGACTCGATCTATTAATACTAATATTAAAATTAATAAACTGAGAGAATTAGGTTTTCGGGGGAAATTTCTCTCATGGCTCGCTTCATACCTTGAATTTAGAAAAATTATTGTAAGAATTGACGGTGAGAGATCCCTTCCATATGACGTGGACCGTTACGCGTGGACTCTGGTGTACCGCAAGGATCAATTCTAGGTCCGTTAATTTTCTTATTATACAAAGTTTCTAGGTGTTTTTGTCGACAACAATATGAGTTGGAGTACTAATATTGATCACATTTGCAAGAAATGGAATAGTGGTTATTTTGCTATAATGCAATTGAAAAATATTTTTTCCACAAGTCAGTTGATAAGTGTCTACTACGCTATTGTCTACTCGCATATTTCCTACAATATCATTCTTTGGGGTAGTGCAAGAGGCGCATCCAGAGTTTTTATATCTCAAAAGAGGGTTATACGTCTGATTTTCAACCTAGACAGTAAAGAAACTTGTCGAAACCATTTTAAGGAACATGCAATTCTAACGTCTCATTCTATATACATATACAACTGCATTCTCTATGCTAAAAGTAATTATAAACACTTTTTTCTCAATTCAGAGTATCACGATTATTCTACTCGATCTTCGAAACTTATTAGGCCACTAAAACATGGAACCAGTTTTCAAATCGTTTGCCAGTCTGTATGAGATTAGAAAACAACTTCAGTGTATTCCATCGAAAACTCAAAAAAAAAATTATGTGATGCATGTTATTATGACTTAGATGAATTTTTAAACCAAACACATAGTTGATTCAATTGGTGAATGTGAGATATATTCATGACGATACTATCGTTAGAGTATATACAGTTTAGAACTTTCTTTTAATGACTTATCCTATATCATGTACTCTGTAATCATGATGGATGAATAATATTATTATTATTATTATTGTTATTATTATTAGGAAGAGTGTCATTCCCAGAAGGACTGACAGCGTCAAGAGGATCGACCAGAAGCCGGCGGCGGCCTCTGGTAGGCCGTCCGGCATCCAGAAATCCGGTTCGAGGAACTCGATAGTGAGCTCGAGGAGCTCCCTGAACAGCGCCACGTCGACCAATACGGTGAAGAAGCTGCCGCTCAGGCCGAACACCAGCAGCAATCTGGCGCGGCCAGTGCAGAGGACACCGAGTGTCAGGTTCGTTGAAGCATTCTATAGGCGTTTTCGGATACTTACTCGGGTTGATCGGATCTCTAACCTGAGCGCTCGGTTATCTATATCGAGTCACCTACCTCTGTTCGGAAACGGGAAACTTGAGTGTTGATAACTCAATCACTGACTCGGGTTGATTTTTCGTGACCCTACTCAAAAGAAGGGTCGCCATCAGAGTAGCAAAGGACATCGCATGCACATTACCAATTATACAAATTTATATCAATCGAAAAACGCGTTAGTTTACTACTCCATGACGGCAATATAATAATAAAATAGTTCGCATGTTGGGAAAAAGTTCGATAGGTGATATTAATGTTCTTTTTAATCTCCATAATTTGATTTAGCAATGCATAGAGAAGAAAATTTGGGTAAGTGTGAAGTCGTTTATGATGGGTTTAACGAGCCAATAAAGTAATGTGCGGCAACACGTATGCTAGCGGTTCGACAGCCTTAATGTGGTTCGAATTACGTGAATGTTATCCTGACACATATGATGCAATAGATCTAAATGCGATAATTACACCAAATGAAGAAGTAATGACTTACAGAGTTATTCGGTTGCACTACAAATGACTTACCACTCTTAGGATCGGCAGGAGCACCATAAACCATATCCTCTTCTCAAAGGGCCCTTTTGGATGGAACGTAGGGAGACGAGTGGTATAGCACGATTATGCCGGTGAAGATATCCACAAACACTCAATTGTCTCGATTGTGAGGACTTGCGATAAAACCGTCAATGAAAGAATATTTAGTTATGTAAAGGAATTTAGTTTCATTGAATAGCACAAATTGAGCACGAGGAGCAACAGGAATCGCCTGTACTCTCCGGAGACCCGATGAAGATGTAGTACGACTGCTAGTCTTATCGGTACTATAGTTATTGTTCATATCACTCTCGACAATGTGATATACATTATACAGGTCGTCCTAGTGCAACATTAATATACGCGGGTTATGAAAAGAATAAAAGAATTATAAAACGAACAAATTATTATGAAGAGCAACAACATTAAGGCTTTCCGTAACAACGTGCGTACATTAGACAAGTTCACCAATCACCAGTTGAATATAAATATTTGTAACCACATCAAATGAGTAATTGAATATAATATGAACATGTTCATCTATCAAATTCACGAAACCATAAAAAAAATCATGTGTTCCTGATGTGACAACTTTCGTAAACGTTGAACACGATAAGTAGGTGATGCGAGTTCTTTTTGTCACGTGACATCTCTGGATCGAGTTAACAACCCAGAGTAAGTTTCCAAAAACACCCTTATTATAGATTTTTGAGCGGTTCTGGGTCTCAAGAGTTATAGTTTATCCAAAAACAATTTATTGCACAATCTTGTGCCGCACCTGCAGTCACTTCAAAGGAAACTTCAAACACGCCTACGCCGCACAGTGCGGGATATTCTGCAATTGATATTGGATATACTATAACTGCTGTTATTCAAGTATGACATAATCATTGAAAGATCATAACCACATCGGAACTCATGCAGTTGCTTTTTTGGCTGTTTCCTCACAGAGTGTGTCGCTTTGCTTGTGTCATGTCTTAGCATGCCTACTACGAAGTATTACATATGCGTCGGCAATAATGGAAAAAGAGGGATAATTTTATGAAACCTTCTGGTTACACATCCACTGACAAAAACGCTATCTATAGTCCGCTTTTGCCATAGGAAAGGAGGTAAGCAACTCATGAATATCGAACTAGAGAATGTCATATATCTTATTACTATTATTACTGAACGCCAAGAAACATGACTCGATGTCATGAACGACAGTTTAGGGGTTGCTGCGCGTTCAGCTGTAGCGTTATCAGGTGAGCGATTTATCCGAGATTTTCGGACTAGTGGTCTAGATAGTAGTTATGTCAATGGTTACAGCACCACTTTTTCTACGAAGTGCTCGAAGAAACAAAAGTGCACCACTCAAATTTTTGATATTTTTCAAGATGCTTTAACTTTTTTAAAAATTAACAGATTCTCAATTGGAATGCAGTGTTCTAAAGATGCGTTCTATTTATTCAAGATTCATTGTTCAAAACATCGAATTTCTACGATTATGACATACCAATAGTGGTCAAAAATAGTGTTACATTATCGAATAAGTTTATAGGAGCAGGAGTGCTCAGACATCATGGGACTGTGATCTATTTACCACAAAACATTTAGCTGACAAACATATCTACGACATGACATCTCTGAGATGTCGCGATGAGGCAACACTTCGATATTACGAATGTTCCATCGCTGCGATGTACAGGAGCAAACACATCTGCGACATGATCTAAGATGTCATGATGAGGCAACACTGCGATATCATGAATGTTGCATCTCTGCGATGTACACATCATGAGGACTTATTAGTATTTCAGAAATTCAAAAATTTTATATTTAAATGCTTCTTTAAATTCGCAAACATTCGTTGAATTGCTATCAAACTATTCTTGGTTTGCTCACATCTCGTCGACACTACATAATTTCTGATACTGATATATGTGTAACTGATCTCATCCTGATGGAGATACGTAGGTACTAAGGATAGCGCCGATGAATAGACGATTGAATGGACAGAGGAAACCCGAGGAACTACCGACCATAGTCGCGACAATGCATGATCAATATTATTAAATAGATGTCATCAGAAGTCAATGGTGTATTATATCACACCATGTTTGAGGATACTTTTTCACGTGATTTCCCATCACATCGTAGTTTAATCGCAAAAACAAATCGCTTTTCCATTCCACAAATATCGCAGAGAACTTATCGCATCGACGTCGCATGGATGAAACTTGAGTGGGACAAAATAACATCATCCCTCTGACATCGCATCATAGGATGCGATATCGCAGGTCACAATTGTTACATCGCTGCGAAATCTCTGTGATGTAACAGTGTTTTCTGGGCGGCGATTAGGAGTAGCCTGCTCATAAATTGAAACACATTTATTAAAATGACATCCTGTAAAAAGATATTCATAATATTTATTCACAGTACAATATACTTGTATAAAGTTGAAAATCTAATAAAATTGCATTGTTATTTGTGGAGTGATTGTTTTCATCTTGTTGAGATCGATTCCAAAAGCTTTCGCAATGGACCGGTCGATCGCGATCGATTGTTCGAGCACCACTGATATATACAGGATGCGAAATATCGATGTTTATGAATTAATATTCTATTATTGCCGCATTTCTTCGAATTTCAGAAAGTGCAGGTGATATTCGAATCATACTGTGCTTCAATTGGCCTTTTTTCCGAAAATTCGGCGTCTTGTTCACTCTCAAGATTATTTTATTTTTCCATTCGAAGTGTTCTTTTCCCTCGGTTTTCCAGAATTGTTATATCGTCATCGGCTTTATAACTGGAAAATTTCCTTCTAACGAATTTTCATCAATTTATAGATTTACACTGATTTTTTTCAAAATAATTTCCCTATAAGTGAAGTTCAGCTAGCTTTGAGAAAAAATTATGTATTGCCCATCAGTCCTTATTGTCATCAGTATTCCAACGTAAAATGATGAAAATGTTATAATGGCAACACTGAAAATGAGAGGAGATGGTCATATTAACCTCGATATAAAAAAGGTTAGGATGATCATCTTCATAAAATCTTCATTATTTTTCGTTGGAACAATTAAGACAAGGACAGATGAGGGATGAAGATATATATTTTTTCTCTCGGTAGCTGAACTTCTCCTTTAATAATTCAGTTGCGTTTACTGCCGTTCACAGGTCCGCGACCTCTTCGGTGAAGAGCAACCTGAAGAGGTCGAGTTCGAGCAGCGGCGGAGGAGGAGGGGTGGGAAGCCGCCCTCCGAGGCCGCAAGCCATGAGCTTCATGAAGCCGACGGCTTCGAGTACGACCAAGAGCAGTCAGGCTGCTACCACTAGCAGGATAGGTTCTTTCAGGCAGAAGAATTGAACGGATATTGGGCAATATGCTGTGTGTGCGATTTGAGCCAAATCATTATTTTTTCGAATTTCCCTTCATTAATTATTGTCTGGAAAACACTAATACCAGATTTTTTGCTGGCTTCCTTCGAATATTGGAAAAAACAGCCGTTGCCTCGTTCGAGGACGATGGGCACATCTGTTCAAAACTAAAAAGAAACAATATTTTGAAGCGATGGATATGAATGGGTATATGATGGAAGACTGCAAGGCAAATATCAGACAGGTAGAGTTGTGATTTTTTATATCATTGGCTACTATAAGTTCTGAATGAATTTCGATAATGATCCCAGTCCAGAACATTCCCAATAGTTGTTTTCCTAGTCATGGCATTTATTCTTGATTTCTTTCTCCAGAACTCTTTTGGTAACTGCTGATCGCGGAATGTAAACAATTAAAACCATTGCATAAAAAATGGGACCTTTCATATTCGCACTCTATATGTATTTATTAGGAGAATTAAGTTTATATAATTATTATAAGCATATCCCAGTGGAGATTCACTTGATGGTATAAATAATATGGGAAATTGTTCCGTGCCCATATCCTTTTTGGTACTGACCAATCTGTTGTTTTAATAAAAGTCCTAAAGAAAGTAGGTACTCAATTCCACACCAATCTTGAAAATATCTACTCCTAAAAATAAATTCGATCCCCATAAAATGATAGAAGTGGTACTCATTATATTATATTAGATATTACCTAAACACATTTTATTTTCTACTTGTAAAAAGGTGTACCTCATTGTCCACTGCGAATTTTCCTTCATATTTGAACAAATTCTCAGAGCTGCCAGAGTGATCCTATATATACCTCTGCCTAAAGTGAATAATATTCATTGTTCACAGTTGTTTATAGTTTATGCCCTACTGTGTGTATTTACAATCCATATGTGAATGTTTTATGAGATGAAATTCTGATTCTAAGGTCCATGCCTAAAATTCATCTGCTCAAACTGCTGTAGACCAATATATTAATTCCTTAAGTTTTAGTGCCATACCAGAAGTATGGTGTTTCAAATCCACATAATAAATAGTTATATTATACAATATAATTAATGTATATACTATATAGAATATTTGCGAAATTAAAAAAAAAATATTTGTTTTGAAATATCAATTTTAGATTAGTATACCTAGGTTTTAAGTAGGATATTGTATTAATACAATTAAAACACCTTATTATTTCGTTTACTAGTCAAAAGTGCTTTTTTACTATAATGGGCATTTCCAGTTTCAAAAAATTTGCAGTTTTTTTGTCATAATGTTATGAAGGACCATCCAAATCATAGTCCAGATTTTTTTTTGATTTTTTTATTCCAAACCATTGCCTTATAAATCAGTGTCGAAATCGCGTGATTCAAACACGAATATTCAAACGTTTAAAATGTGGTGGCAGTTTGTGACGTCAGGGCGCGTAGTGATTTGATTGGTTGAATATGGTAATGGCGACAGAGGGGCGGGATTAGCTGAGAGAAACAACACAGTTGCCAGGTCTTTATAAAATATCTAGATATAATATAAATAGGAATTCAAATAACTGAATCTTGATCAATACATTGCTGACTATTGTTCACTTACCAAGAAATTGAAAATATTAGATATTACCGAGGGTGTTATAGGGTATTTTCATGATAATTTTAGGTACACAAATATCCATTGGGATCAGTGTTTTGTATCATTTAGTTGCTATAAATAACTGATTCAGTTATCGGTTAATTCGATATTTCTCATGTCATGACTATTACTTATCAAAATATCTCGATATACCAAATTTAAACGTGTTTTAACCATAAACGTTCCTCCTCCCTGGAAAATATAATAACTCATGTGGCAACCATGCTTTATCTTGAACATAACCTATGACCAGACGGGACTCGTCAGTCGAAGCACAAACACGAAAGTCACACCAACACTGTTGCCGAGCCTTTTCCAACGATTTCTAATATTCACTGTACACTAATCAAATTGAATAGTAACTGATGATGTTCTGGATATTTCAGAATCAATTAAATATAACTTGTATTAGTGTTCTCAAATTGTTGCTATATCAATACATATTATATTATCTTCTGATGATCAATCTCCTAATCATCCCTAATCAATTGAAAGTACAGTTTATATACCTGACCCAAAATACCTCTTACGAGCTCATTATAGGTAAATACCTACCTGGTTTTCTCTATGTGAGATAGGTAGTGAAATACACTGCACCATCTAGATGTTAAATTATTTCTTCCTCGTTTTGTCCTAAGAGTTCGTACATTTTATGTAATATGGCAACATCGGAAAACTTTTTATTGATTTTTCAACAAGCGAGACAACATCATACAAAATGACCATGTAACCAATCGAAATCGTTCGCGCGCTGACGTCAACGGTTCCCTCCCTTTAATACTCGTTTGAATTCGTTAGATCATTTTGCCGATTTCAATAATTTTTTCATCTAAGATCCGGCCAAAATAAAAATCCCAAAAAATTTGTATAAGGTTCTTGAGAGTCATTTATAACCAAATATGATTTTTCTGGACATTACTGGAAATGCCCATTGTTATAGTATACCTACTTATGGTAAATATAAGTATATGAAAGTTTTTTCAGCTCTTGAAGAGTTCATACTGCAGTGAGCAAGTATTAGTAAATTTTATATAATTTGTTGTGAAGTTATAGATAGGACTTATTTAACAATAATTATATTACCAATATATATATCTACTCATTATATTTGATGAATAATTTCAGTTTATTTATATTTATTCAAATTGATCTTTTCAAATTGCTCTATTTTTAGCTATATTTTAAATGACTTTCGAAACAATTTTTAACTCTGACTAATTACTAATTTTTTATACTTTAATATTTTGTTACCAAATATTTAACCAGAGTATAGGATCTATCTTCAATTTGTTTGTTTTTTTATTCACCTCTGTCCTCATCCCTCTGTTGATGTGAAAGTATTAATTAGTATATTCGATAGCAATAAGTTACTGCTACTATTTTCTTCATTTTTCGAGTAGGAAACCCTATTATGTTCATGGAATTCATCCTAGGCAGAAAAAGTTTGTTGTATATGTAATAACGTTCCAAAGTAATAATTTTAATCTTATTGATAGGTAATTAAAATTAACAATGACTATTGGGTCAACACAAAAAGATGGATTAATTGGACTTTGCATGAGATTGAAAGGCGAATTTATTGGAGAAAAAATTATATTCCACATGGCAGAAAAGAAGATTCATCAATGCCTTGGCTGGTTTCATATCCAAGGTGCGGCATTACATCTTGTGCTTTTCTGTCTAGTAAAACAATTAATTATTTAATAATGTGTACTCAGTTTTGAAACACAAAACACCCTGTAAAATAGACATCTTGATAAGAGCATGGGACGTATCTATGTACATTGAACACGGAAGAATATAAAAAGAAGAAGAATAGCTGACGACTCTGACTAGTTTAGGTTATGTAATCTCATTTGTTTATTTTTTTGGTCCTTAAAGCTTCTTATATTTTAAAATTCACTTAATTCAAGTCAAAAAATCTGTGCAGAAATCGCCAAAATCGTTCATTGAATAGAACATTAAAATCATGAGTGAATATGAAGACGACTTCAAGAAAATGTATGTGTTCAAGATAACAGGACAGTGTGTTTTGCCAAATTCTACTTTTGAATCCCCAAAATGGACCATAGCTGAATTGCAAAACAGAAAAAAGGAACTAAACAAGGTGAAAGGCTTACTCAGTAAATACAAACTGAAAATTTGGACTAAGCATACAGCAAATCGTGATAGAGCTGGATTTGTGATTAAGAAACTATCAGAGAACATTCAACCAGAACTTTTAACCCAGGTGAGCACATTACTTGGTTTCCTATAATTGATTTCAGTTCAGACTTATACAATCTGGTGTGAATGAATACAGTGGGAGGGGAGCCAAGACCAAAATTCTTCATTTCACCATTGAGTATTCACACTAGTGTATATAATCAAGGATTTCACTGAATTCCTTATAAATATAATCCTATCTATTCATTTTTATGTACCAATTTGTTTTGTAATATCTTTCCTACATGTATCTTATTTCACATTTCAAAATGAAATGAGGTTTTCAGAAGCCTTTGTTTTTGTAAATGAATATGCATACAAACATTGCTTTCATTATTGCTATTTATTTCTGATACTAATGCAAGTTTTCTAGAATCTAGCCTCAACCCTCCATTTATTTTCACTGAACCTTGACTCATGAGTTTCTCTTCATTAGAGCAAAAATGAGTAATCTAAACTTGTTTCTAGGCATGGTGTAAATTTTATGAAATTCTAGGACAATTCCCAATAGTACCATTATGTGCTGTTGACCAGAAAAAGCTACAAAGCTTACATTTATGTGAAGCCCCTGGTGCATTTGTATGTGCACTGAATCACTACTTAAAAGTGAATTTTCCAGGTTTGGATGTGAGTGTTGATAAGTATATCCTTCAAGAAATGTGGTGAAAAAAATCACCTGTTTTAGTGGGAATGGATGGCCAACACACTAAATCCAAATTATGAAGGTAATGAATTGTCTCAAATGATCCCTGATGATAGATTCATTAGTTGCACACTGAAACACTGGCACTTTGGAGCAGATTTTTCAGGTGATATTACACAATTTTGTAACCACAAACAAATTCTGGAATACTACAAAAGAAATGGAAAGAAGGTAAGTGTATAGTTGCCCTATCTCTTGAATAGGAAGTTTATTGTTATTTTATCTCAGGTATCTTTGATAACAGCAGATGGTAGTGTAGATTGTATGAAAGATCCAGGGGAACAGGAAAGGCATGTAGAGCATCTTCATTTTTGTGAAACCATGACTGCACTTGCAATTCTACAGAAAGGTACCTAATTTGTTACCTAGTCTCATATTTTGAAAAATTATGGCTCTTTTCAGGTGGGGCATTTGTATTGAAAATCTTCACTATTTTTGAAGAGAGTACCATCAACCTCCTGTTTCTTCTCAATTGTGTATTTGAAAAGGTAACCATTTTCAAGCCATGTTCTTCCAAAAGTGGAAATTCAGAAGTATATGTTATCAACACAAAATACAAGGGATTCAGTAGCTTGGAAAAATTGTGGGTTAAATTGTCTAATGTATACAAAGATAAGACTTTATATGATACAAAATCCATGTTCCATTCAAGTATTATTCCAACTGATTTTTTCACAGAAATATCTCATTGTACAGATTTTTTCATGGAAAAACAGACCCAGACTATTTTGGATAACATTTACCACTTTGAACACAAGAGTTTTGATAATGTTTACATAACAAAGTCCTTCATAGCTCAGATATACATGACAAAGTATGATCTGAAACCTATTCCAAAGGAGCAAAAAATTGTACCAATTATAAACATCACTGACAATTGGAGGGTGCATAGGACAGTCAAGATAAGAGGTTTTATGAAAGTTTCTATGGAAGACCTGAAACAAATGTGTTCAAAATCTACTGACATATTACAAATTGAGATAGGCAAGCAAATTACTGAGGTAAAAAATTCCAAATTCACACACAGGGACAATCTGACAAAAATACCCCATATGTTCAAAAATATAAAAAAATCTACCCAATTATATTCTAAATTATTAAATTTGTTAAATAAAATGAATGTTGTTATAAACGTGGATGATTTTAGTTTACAACTATTCCATAGATTTCAAAGAGCTTTGTTTCAAGAAATTTTTCAAAATATCAGTCAGGAAAAAAATTTCATATTCATAAATATACCATTTATTTCCCATTTCCTAGTAGGTTTATTGTATATTTTGGTTTTTGCTTATGAAAGTGTCCATTTTGGAAGTGGTATCATAATTTTAAGCAAACCCATTCCCCATCAAATTGCTAATGTGAAAAATATATTATCTGAGCTTGACTTGAACTTCTACAATTTGGATCAGCTGAACAAAGAAAGTAATTTCAATAAGGATATTATCCAAATTGTTTCTCCAAATTTACTTGACACCAGTTGTTTGATAGAGACCATTTGGAATTACAATAACCAGTTGTTTTGTCAAAATCAGTGTTTTGTCAGAACTGTACATTCCTTTGATATCAAAAGACTGAAAACTTGATTACCACAGTAAAGATCCACCATTTCATGTTTTATGTATTGAAGTAAGTAATGTTGGTCTGAATAAAAAAATCAATTGAATTTCATACTATTTTTTTTCATGAATCATTAATTGGAAATGAAAGAAGTGTAAAATGAATTTAAGCACTTGCTCAACTTGATGAATCCATTTTGAGATTGGAAAATTCTAGAAGAAAATCTATAGCTGAAAATGCATTTTACTACAAAATCTAGAAGTGCCTAAATCTTTCGAACTATTCCCATCACATGATATGTTGAGATTCCTGTTTTTTATGATTAACTTTCACAATGAAATTGTGGAGGCTAAGTTTGGTCAGAAAATTTCATTCTGGTCCACTAATAGCATGGCGTCAGCCCACTGTTATCATTTGTGTAGTGATTTAGGCTTTCAAGGATTTTTTTCCTTCCTCTGGAGACCCGGAGGACACAGCAACACTATAGTTTCAGCCGTGGTTTCAGCATATATAATGATTTGAAGTCTTAGAGATGTAGGCAAGCGGGTTGAGGGGAATGGAAACGGTAACGATAGATTGTGCCATTTCCTCAAACGACAGCGGCGTGCGAAAATGAACTATCACGATAGTAAATTTCGGAATCTAAAATGCAAAGAGCGACTAAAAACTGAATACCAATCACTATATGACCGTTTATCAATCCGGGTCGCTATGGGTTATACCAAGTGAACATAACAAATTCAGTTTTGTGTTTCGACAAAACCTTCCATCTATTGGAAAATTATAAATTGAGTTGGCGAAAATACTCTCTTTGGTGCCTACTTGCCTATAGAAACGTTTATTCCGATTTCAGGTTTTCACATATTGAATAATAAATTTTATATAACTGTGGTGTGGTGAACTGGTATGCGAAATAGATTGAATAAATATTTCTTTCCACACATACACCTTTTACACATACTTTCAGGCAGAAGTACAATCATGTTCCAATATATTCCTCTGAAAATAACCATAATAATATACATGATGTATTCTACATTATTTCAATTTGAATTAACAAAGTATTGGATGAGATGAATTATGAACGTGAAAAAATGGATATATACATATATGAAGAGATACATTGAGACTTCCCATTCTCTATTTGATGAAAATATCAATTGTTACGTCTATGAAACTCTAATTCAAACATGAAAACAAATAGTACTTACGAATGGAAGATCAGATTTGGGTTTGAACACTTTGTTTTTTTTGCAAATCCAGCACTGTAACACCATTATCAAAAAAAACTCGAAAATTCACTCAAATACAACGAAAACAACAAACTTCCTAAAACACAAAAACATAAACAAACAACGGCCCAACTCGCCGAAAGCACAAAACGATCCCGTTTTGAAGCGGCGTTGTCGGTTGTGTATAACCTCGGTAACCTTTACAGAACAACTTTGAAATAATGTATAATAACAGTTTTATAATATTTGATTGTGATAATCTATGGTTTATTCCTTGAGATCTATGAATTGGATCATGATGAACATCTAATTGAATAGATGAGTACAAAAGAGGTGAGTGAAAATACTTGAGAGGATTAGACTGAGGTTAGGAATTATCTAGGAATTATTAGCTACAGGACGTGACAACCTCCAATTCAACATCAGGTAATATACTGTGACCGTATTATCTGGCTTCACATTATGATGTAAATAAATGGGTCCTTCATAGGCTATATTCCGAATTCAACTGGTCGGTACTGTTAGTAAATCCACTGACTCTGCTGAAAAGCTGTGTTCCGAAATATAAAATCAAAAATACAGTGCTGTGATTTGGAACACGTTTTCATCAGTAATCAGCAGCAGTTAATCAGCTGGTGAAATTTGTCAGTTGTCATTGATCTGGCAGATGCTCCTGCTTGAATAAATAACAGGCATTTTCTGATATCAAAATGCCAAGACTTAATGTTTGAATGAAATAAATGTGTCATTCCTTTCCACTCAAAAATAATGACAGTTCACTGAAGCCACACCACCTTTTGATATTCAGCAATTTCAGCAGAATGTTGAGTCGAAATATTTGGAATGAATAGTATATCTGCTCAGGAGTATCTGTCACTTTCAGTCAATTTTTTTGATTTCCGAATGAAAATTCAGTAGATTTAGTACTGTCAGTTGAATTCGGAATATAGCCTTTGTTTATATGTCCATGTTAATAATTCTAGGCTTGGGAATGGTTCGAAAACTTTAGGCTCTCGTCAAAATCGTCTTTGTTTTTTCCGAAAAATATTCAAGTAGTAGAGGGGTTAGAAGATCAATCATCATAAACAAACTTGTCACAAAATTTAATTTTCAATGTTTCTCACCTCGCATTATTGTATTTATCACAAATTCACAACTAATTTACTGAAATTAACGAGATTGAAGCTTACTTTTATACAAGACAGTAAATAAAACAAAAGGCGCCATGTGAATTGAAAACTGATATTTCTATACAAACATATAATCACTTTTTAAGTTTAAGCCCAATACATGTCCCTAACAGTAACTTTGGTTCACTTCTATGAAAATGATAAAAGAGCTTATGAATTTAATGATAGTCAAAATTCTATGTTACTCTAAACCAGATGATATTCCACAATCCAGCAGTAATATCTTCCTATTACAGATAGCATTCCTGCTCCACATTTTCTTTCTTACCATGAGAATAATAATTCTAATACAAGCAATAATACATTTTCCTACAATAATATATTACAAACATTTCCAAAACGGTCCATTTTATGACATTGGACCACTTCAAAGACCTTTTTCCCTTCAAAATTCAAACCCATTTCATTCTTTTCAGCTGAAGGGTCCGAATCACTTTTATTTACATTGATCAACCTCAATCTGCAAATTACACATTTCATAAGCTCAGTTAACACCAAATTAAACTAAAATATGTGATTATGTGAACCGAAAGACATTTAGATATGTTTGGGGGAATTTCAGTGAATGGGCATGAATGATGTGAAGCAGAAGGGTGCATCCCAAAAGAAAATGAGAATAATATCTCATTTTTTTGAATATGTAGACTACCAGTACCGTGTGATACTCAGACAAGTATTGATTTACATCATGTATGATATCAAATGCTAATTAAAATATCAATTGAAACAAAATGATGAAAATTATTCAATAAGAGAATTTTTTTATGTAGGATTACTTGTCATTGGAATTGGTAATAAGGTTATAAAATATGAAATGTATTTGATTGGCAAAGAATGACAGAACTTTGTGAAAACGTTTTCTATTGCTCATTTGCTAGAAAAATACAGGATCATTTTTGAAAATCGTGCATTAAAATTGAAAACTGGTAAAGCTAAGTTGACCTAATGTGTTATCTGAACTTAGATATTAAAAACCTTTCCAACCATTAGGAATAATTCAACTTTTGGTGCTGTATTGCAGTGGGAGCAAAAATATTTTAGGAAGTTGAGAAACTTCTGATTGATCTAATGCACGTTTGATTCTCCTAATGTTTTTTGTTTATATTTGGAATGAAAGTCAACTGCAATACCTTGATAAATGACAGTTTGTGGCATGTGGAATTTCCACAAAGGACCCCGCACTTTCCTTATGGAAAGTGGCTTTCGGTTAAATTCCCTAAATTTTTGGTATGATGTAGATTTTGACTCCCTAAGCAAAACTGTCCATGGGCACAAAAAAATCGGATGACTAGTTTTCGAGATACAGGGTGTCAAAGATGAAAAGTGAAGCTTTCTGCTCAGAATTTTCAACAACTTCGAGAACAAAACGTCCATTTATTCATGGAATAAAATGCCTGGTTGATGGTACAATGTCATCTAGATCTCCTATCGATTATAATTTTACGTTTTAGGCTCTACAACATGGTGAACAAAAAAAATCCAATTCGACCAATTTTAAACCAACCAGGGTAAGTTCTTTCATCATAATTAAAGATCCAATTGAAGCCTGAACGAACTTTCTCAATCTCGATCGAAGTTTACTGACATGAATCGGAAAGGGGAGAGCATGTCATATATATATCAGACATTCTTTAATGTTGAGAACGTCGCATACTCATTCCATATATATATATAGGGTGAGTAAAAAGATACAGTCCAAGTTCCTTGAAAAACTGCGGTTTTTTCAATGAATACCTAGAATAGTGCGGTACCTATTCCAAAAATGCAATACCTTATATACAGAGTGAATGAAATGTTTTCCATTTCAAAGCCCTGTTTCCGATGAAACTAGAAAAAATTGAAATGTATCAGAAGGAATAACCCTCTCAAGGTTGGAACTCATCCTACAGTATTTGAAAGCTATTTCAATTTAGATGGAGAAATATTTTTATGATTTCTGTGGAATGTGCGGTTTCTACGAAATTGGGATATTGAGTACTCAATGAACAAATGAATGGTGAAGGTATTATACCTCCCAAAATTCAAGTCTGAAAAAAAAAATGTACGTTTTGTGGTCATTTCTTCTTTGAATTGAAATAGCTTTCAGATACTGTAGAATTATTTCCAACCTTGAGAGTGTTATTGATTTAAATTTACTCTAGTTTCTTCGGAAACAGGGCTTTCAAGTGAAAAACATTTCATTTACCCTGTATATAAGGTATTGCATTTTTGGAATAGGTACCGCACTAATCTAGCCGGAATATTCTTCAACATGAATTGTTGGAAACAAGGCCATTTTCGACTCCAATGGAGTATATCGGGTATCAATAAAATCCGTACATTAAAAAATATACAGCCGACAAACGAGTCCGGAGACCTATGCTAATATTGATGACAATATCTCGGACTCCTCAAATCGTACATTATATCAAAAATTCAAGAAAATTAACCGATTTTTTTTCGATATACAGGGTATTCATTGAAAATAACCGCATTTTTTTCAAGAAACTTGAACTGTATCTTTTTACTCACCCTATATATATGGAATGAGTATGCGACGTTCTCAACATTGAAGAATGTCTGATATATATATATATGACATGCTGTCTCCTTTCCGATTAAAAAAAAACTAGTGATTGACGTATCCCTATTTTTGAACCACCCTGTATTTAAAAAAAAATGTCAGTAAACTTCGATCGAGATTG